TCTAGGCCCGAAACGTCAGTTTTCCTGCTCCTCTGATGCTGCTTGGCCTGCTGTGTTCATCCAGCTCTGCACCTTGTTACCTCAGATTCTCCAGCATCTGCAGTTCCTACTATCTCATATTTTAAGTACTTGTATAAATACAGGAAAATGTAAAGGCAGTGATTTTGATGCATAAATCACAATTTTGCGTATAATAATTAAAACTGAACAATCTGTTTAGTTCATGCCACTGCAAAGTGCTTTATAGATTAAAATCCATAGAAGCAATAGATACAATTTTCCTCCATTGCTTCAAAAGCTTCAAACTTAGTTAGCTACATTGATCATACACTTACTAATAGCTCCTCAGATACAGAAGCAGTCCACATCCAAATGAAACAAGACCTGAACAATATCTGGGTTTGGACTGAAAAATGGCAAGTAACAAATGCTAGGCAATGACCAACTCCAATGAGAGACAATCGAAGAACCAGCCCTTGACATTCAATTATGCTACCATCGCTAAATCCCCCACTATCAACATTGGCAACTTAACTGGACTAGCCATATAAATACAGTGGTTACAAGAGCAAGTCAGAGATTAAGAATACTGCAGTGAGTAACTCACCTCCTGACTCCCCAAAGCCTGTCACCATCTATAAGGCACAAGTCAGGAGTGAGATGGACAACTCTCCGCTAGCCTGGATGGGTGCAGCTCCAACAACACTCAATAAGCTTGACACCATCCAGAATGAAAACAGCTCTCTTGATTAACACTACATCCACAAACATCCACTCCCTCCACCACTGACGCACAGTAGCAGCAGTGTGTACTATCAACTGATGCACTGCAGAACTTCACCAAGATCCGTAGAGAGCACCTTCCAAACCTATGACCACTTCTATCTGGAAAGACAAGGGCAGCAGATAAATGGGAACACCACTACCCCCAAGCCACTCACTATCCTCACTTGGAACTACATCACTGTTCCTTCAGTATTGCTAGGTCAAAGCCCTGGAATTTCCTCCCTAACAGCATTTTGGATCTACCTAAAGCAAAGGGACTGCAGCAGTTCAAGAAAGTGGCTCATCACCACCTTCTCAAGAGCAACGATGGATGATCAATAAATGCAGGCCAACAGGGTGACACCCACATCCCATGAGTGAAAAAGAAATACAAATTTTTCCAGTGTAAAGGAGTAACAACTTGTCTCCTCAGGACGTGGGTTTCTGTCACGTGTGTTTATTTGTCTGAACAGATAGATTGTTGGCCTCCAGATCTTTGACCTGATAATGTCGATGCTGACATATTTCAAAAAAAGCTTCAGCATGTTTTTCATGTGCATTCTTTGTCCTCCCCTGGAATGCTGTCCACTTGAGAGTTGAGAAAACAGGAACTGCTGGAAAAGATGCTTTTCAGCTATCCTGGTACAGTGACCAATTCCTTGTCATTGGTTTTGCAGGAGTTTTACTTCAATGCAGGTGCATCTGGCATCAAGAAGGAATTTCATTTTCAGTGTAACAACATCCTATTGAATCTGGAGGATGCAGTAGAGAAATTACTGGTGGAATTTCTCTAACATGTTTATGCGTCACCTTAAAGCTTAATTGCCCTCTGGTATGTTAAATACTGCCTAGATGAAATACTCTAAGCTCAATCACCTCCGTACCAAAATTAAGCTGGCTCACAGAACTATATGATTTATGGTTTGCAGATGACTGCAGTGCTGTTGTTCAATCTGCACCAGCTTTGCAAGCCACTTGCTCTCTCAATTCTGCAAACAAAAATAAACTTAGATTGTCCTCAAATGTTGCCAAAACTAGAAGTGTATCAAGGTCGTACCTGGTCAGTCAAAGATTCCACATCCCCATAGATGCTGAGGGAGGGATTCTGGAACAGAATGAGCACTTCCTATGCCTTGGGAACCACCTCTTTCAAAAAGCCATCTTTGATGAAGAGATCCAACACTGGATTCTACTGCATTAGTTTAGCCTTCCAGAAAAGACAGTGAGCATTTGATCTCAAAGACCTAGGGTACAGAGCAGTTCTTGCATTGCAGTGATGCCTGAACAGTGTCCAATACATATATACGTACAAAATGTTGCGGACATGCCACCTTCTCATTGCTTATATATCATATGGGTGATAATAATATTTGAAAAGATCAGACAATGGCAGCTGAGAATGACTGAAAGTTGAAAAATACTAGAAATGTCTGTTTCTTTTTTACCCTGGTGCTGTAGATAAATTGGTGGCTTGCTTGTCCATATAACCTTGGATTGTAACCACAGTCCTGCATCTCTGCCTGAAGAATAGAACTGCCATATCCACTCAAATAAACGAGGGTGTGTGTCAGACGGTCCAGTTGGACTATGGAAATCAACAATTTGACACCTGAAAAACAAACACAATAGTTTCAAATTATTCTACAGATGAAAATGCATGAATGTGTTAATTTTTATCAGCAAATAGAATTCCTCTCTGTTTTACAACAGTTTGATTACTTTTCTCCGTTAAATTTCCTTTTACTTTTCCTTCTAGACATAGTAACAGGACATGAGCTATGCTTTCACACGTAGCAGAAATTTTTTAAAAAAGTGGACACCACCGACTCTCAAGATGCTTGACACCAGCCAGGACAAAGTAACTTAGTTGACTGGCACCACATTCATAAAAAACCCACTTCCTCCACCAATGACACACAGCAATATATCATCCACAAGATACACTGCAGAAATTAACCAAGATTCCTTAGACAGACCTCCCAAACATACAACCACTACCATCCAGAAGGACAAGGGCAGCAGATACATGGGAACACCACCACCTGCAAGTTCTCTTCCAACCCATTCACCACCTTGACATAGAAATACATCAAGCTAAAGCAAAATACATTGGATGCTGGAAATCTGAAACCAGCACAGAAAATGCCGATGAAATTCAGCAGATCTGGCAGCATCTTCTGGAAGACAGTCATTCTGGACTCAATGTTAACTGCTTTCCTCTCCACAAATGCTGCCAGATCTGCCGAGTTTCTCCAGGATTTTCCATGTTTGTAACGGAAATGTATCACCCTTCCTTAAGGGTAGCTGGGTCAAAATTGTGGAAGTCCCTGCCTAACAGTATTTGGGAGAACTTACACATAATGGACCTTAGAGATTCTACAAAGCAGTTCACCACCACCTTCTCAAGGGTAACTACAGATGGGCGCTAAATGCTGGCCCATCCAGCAATGTCCACATCTAATGAATTATTTTGAAACAGAATCGATCAATTGAGTTTAGACATTGACTGACAGCAGCCTGAATGGATCTGGGCCGCAATAGAATTGTATTTACTCTCGTCCTCCTTAACAGATGTTATTTCGGCTTGATACTCATCAGAACTTACTATCCCAAGGAACAAGAAGGTCAGTTGTATCACCCAACTGAAAACAACAGATCACAGATTAAACATGGGATATTTATACAATGGCAAGTGACCAAGGATCTCCGCACTCCTCAACAGTCTGTTAAAAATCATTTAGTTTCTAGCAAAGCTAAAGAGAACTATAAGAATCTGTTATTGTTGTAAAAATCAAGTATCAATTTTCAACTTCCAACATCTGGTTTTAATATCTTAGAACCATCATGGATGAAATACTTTTTAAAAACTACAATTAACTGACTTAAGATAACTGAAGTGGTCACATAAACAGATTGAGCCAAGCTCATGAAAACATCAACAAACAAGATTCAGTCTAAGCCAAAATTAACAAATATAAAAAAAGCCCCACCTTCTGTTTCATCCACATCTTTCTGGAAGTTTCACTTTATTGAGACAAACATTACTTGCAGATTATCTGGCTTGAAAAACAATGTAACTAGACATGTGAATACACATGTGAACTGTACTCAAGTAACTGCTTTAGACAGCAAAGGAAATGGATTGGTAACAATAGAATTCAAAGACTCTTTTTCTCTTTCCCTGTTTCTCTCAGCCTCTCAATAGACACCACCTAGTGAAAAGCTAATTGGAAAAATATCAATTCACCAGGAATTCAATTTTCACCACTGAGTCAGCGTCATACGGTACGGAAACAGACCCTTCACTCCGACTTGTCCACGCCGACCAAGTTTCCCAAACTAAACTAGTTGCCTGCGTTTGACCCATATCCCTCCAAATCTTACCTATTCATGTACTTGTCCAAATGTCTTCCAAATGTTGTAACCTATACCTGCATCTACCACTTCTTCTGGTAGTTCATTCCACATAAGAACCACTGTCTGTGTGAAAAAGTTGCCCCTTCAGGTCCTTTTAAGTCATTCTTCTCTCACCTTAAAAAATGCCCCCCTAGTTTTGAACTCTCTCACCCTACGGAAAAGACCTTTGCTCGTCATCTTATCTATGCCCCTCATGATTTGATAAACCTTTAATAGGTCACCCCTCAACCTCCTACACTCCAATGAAAAAAGTCCCAGCCTATCCAGTCTCTCCTTATAAATCAAACCCTCCAGTCCCAACAATGGATTTATTCACTTCTTAAGGAACTGCTGAGGGTACAAGATATCAATTAAAGAATGGTTCTCTCAGGTTAAAACTTAACACCTAAGGATTTTTTTGAACTGCTCATTCTTGATCTTCCAAGACTTGGTCACTCCTTTTAAACACTACACATATGTTTGTGTGAGTTTGATATTATATTTTATCATTTTCTTCTGGGTTAGTAAGTAACAAAATTCCTCTCACCTCATGTCATCATTATTTGCTAACTGCTTATTCAAGAAGGACAATAATTCCAGATTCTTCAATCTAAGTGAAGATTCATCATAACCTCCTTGCTGCTGTACTCCATGCTTCTACTTAGGAAGCCCAGAACCACAGATATATTTTAAACCACTTTCTCAACCTGCCTATCACCTTCAATTATTTTTGTACAAGTACTCCTAGGTCTCTCTGTTCCTGAACTCACATAGTATTGTACCCACTATTTTTATCTGAAAACAAACCAAATTATTTGTAGACATACAAGTTAGGTGCAGAAGTAAGCCACTTGGCTCCTCAAGCTTCTTCTACCATTTAATAAGATCACAGCTGTTCCATTTGTGCTTTAAATCCTTCATTCCCATCTGCTTTTGACAATCTTACATTCCCTGCATTATAAATGTCCATCTACAGGCACCTCAAAAACATCCAATGAGCCCATGTCCACTGCCTGACACAGAGTTTTAGAGCTGCACAAAACTCAGAAAAAATGATTAACTCATTTCAATCTTAAAACGGTGACCTTAAGTTTTAAAACACTGCCCCTAATTCTGACTAGAGGAACTGTCACTTCAAAATTCACATTGTTGAGACTGTTCAGGATCTCATAAGTTCAAACAAGTTATCCCTCACTCTTCTAAACCCCAGAGAAAACAAGCCCAGTTTGTCCAACCTTTTTCTGTAACACAACACAAAAGTACACCTTGATGTTAATAATGAAAGAACATTTGTCTCATTGTTATTTTTCATTTCAATGCTGTCATTACAATTACCAAGTCAATGGGTCATTATCACATCACACTATTCACATCAGTTGAAAACATTTAATGAGCAGTTTCCTTCTTGCCCCTTGTGATTTTGCAATACTTATTTTTATGTTTTCCTGTATTTTAAAATCAACAAGCAATCCATAATTACTCTGCACCATAAAAACACACAATCAGTAACTTTTATGGAGGTAGATAAAGGTTCTTGCACTTCTTTTCTGGGATTTAGGCTCAATTTGGTCTGCGTTGGCCCTGAGGAGTTTGTTTCAGTTTCAGTGAGCCCAGGTCCAAAACTGTCTGATTTGCCAATATTATTTTTGCATATCAGGATAGTGATGATAAATGGAGGAAAAATGTCATTCTGCTGCACTTGTTGAGATTTAGAAATAATGTCAGACAGTATAAAAACAATTTTACTTTTCTTTCAAAACATGATGTAGATGAATTTCTGTAAACCTTAATGGGAAAATTGAATCTGAAAATTAAAAGCTCACTTTTCCAACATCAACATTCATCTACTTTATCACACCATTTCAACACAGTTGATTTCATATCCTAATTTGCAAATGTCATCAGCTCTCCATAACTCTCAAAACAGCAGTGGATGGTCTCTCAGATGACATGTATGGTGGAAAAATGGTAGAGGGAGAAAACGTCCTTTTAACCTCTGTCATTGTGGTAGACCGGCTGCATATTCTCATTACAAAATATATTCATGGCAAAATATAAATGCTTATCATTACTGGACTGTTAAGTGAAATCCTTAATATTTTTACATTAAACAAATATATCAATGATTTACACTGGGGGACATGGATATGTACAGAAAGATTTGCAATAGCCAGAATCTAACAAACCAGAATGCTGCACAACCTGCCATGCTTCAGGAATTTGTTAGAAGTGGTATCTGATCTGGTGCCAGGTCACAAAATACAATATTCCTTGTGAAATTGATGTGCAGCTACTTGCACCCACATCCAAGTAAGTATTAAGAACTGCACATGCAGCATTTAAGACTTACAAGCTCAAGCTCCCCAACATTAAAAGTCAAGGGCCAGATCTAAACAAAATTAAGTCCTTACTGGAGGTCTGCATCATCATTATGGCAGATCAATTGTGTCAAAGCATTGTTTGGAATATTTATGAAACAGTCTTCTTTTCAACATTGGCAGTTTTTAAAAGAAGGTAATAGGCTTCAACTCTGCAATATAATGTTGTCAGTCTGAAGCAATTCTAAGAGATACAACTGCATTAGTCCCCCGAATAGTTGAATTAACAACCTCTAACAACTGCTTGCCTTCATGCTTAGACTTTTGAATACAGGATATTGAGGCTTGTTCTGGAGTACTGTATCCAGTTCTGGTCTCCCTGTTATAGGAAGGATATTATTAAGGAGGAGAGGGTTCAGAAGAGATTTACCAGGATGTTGCTAGGAATGGACGGTTTGATTTATAAGGAGAGACTGGATAGGCTGGGACTTTTTCCACTGGAGCGTAGGAGATTGCAAAGTGATGTCACAGAGGTTTATAAAATCATGAGGGGTATAGTTAAGATGAATGGCAGGTTTCTTTTCCCTAGGGTGGCATATTTTTAAGGTGAGAGGAAAAAGATTTAAAAAAGACATGAGGGGCATTTTTTTTAAACTGTAGAGAGAGGCTCCTGTGTGGAATGAACATCCAGAGGAAGTGGTGGATGCGGGTACAGTTACAAATGTTTAAAAAATATTTAGGTTAGTACATGAACAAGAAACGTTTGGAGGGATATAGGCCAAGCGCAGGCAGGTGGGGCCAGTTTAGTTTACAGTCGGCATGGACTATTTGGACCGAAAGGTCTGTTTCCATGCTGTATGATTCTTGGTTATCTAGCAGTTTTGATTTCCAGTACCTTTTGATCTTAGGGCATTTCAAATGCCACTTTTTCTTTATTCTTTCATGGAGTGTGGGTGTTGTCAACAAGTTAGTATTTGCTGCCCATCCCAAAGTGTCATTTAAACTGAATGACTGCTAGACCACTTCAAAGGTCAGTTAAGAGTAACATTACGGTGGGTCTGGAGTCACATGTAAGCCACATTGGGTTAAGACAGCAGAGTTCCTTCCAAAACGATGTTAATGAATCAAATGCTTTTTTGTTTAGAAAAGAAAGTATGACAATTGATGGTAGTTTCATTATTCGCATTACTGAGCCTAGTTTCAATTGCAGAATTACTAAAATGGATTTAAATTCCACCAGCTACTATGGTGGGATTTGGACCTGTGTCCCTTAGCCTGGGCCTCTGGACCTTTTTTAAAAATTCATTCATGGGTGTCATTGGCTGGGCAAGCATTTAATGTTATTTTAATATTTACAAGTTGTTTCTGGTTGCCCATGCCTAATTGCCCAGGGGCAATTAAGAGTCAACCACATTGCTGTTTGTCTGGAGTCACACGTAGACCCAAACTGGTGAGTTTCCTTCTGTAAAAGGATGTTAGTGTTCCAGATAGATTTTTCAGGACAATCTGCCACGGTGGGATAATGTCCCCACGACATTATTTGGATCTCTAGATTAATAGTCCAGCGATAACACCACCAGGCCAATACCTCCCCTATTCTAACAACATTATGACTACACCATCATCTCCTCCAATTTTACAGTACATTAATTTAGTTAGGGATTAGTTAGAACTTTACTGCAGTGCTGTCAAAAAGCAAATACCAATTTCAGTCTCTTAAGCATTCCTAGTGAATTCAAGTGCCCGGCTAACTTACAGTGGAATTAAATGATCAGGAAGTTCATTTTTAATTAGTCCAAAGTATTCTTAACTCATATACTAACTTTATTCTTAGGAAAGTCAATAAAGAATAGATTTCTGTTGCTCCAATCCAAGCTCGAGTGCCCTGCAGTTTATTTTTAAAATGCGCAGCACCTTGAGGATCAAAACCATCCTTCCATGCTTCCTCTATCATAGACTGGATTTTTGGAATGCAAGGGATTGCAATGTCTAAAAGAGAGAATAAATGGAAAACATTTACAACTCTATATCCAAACCTTAAAAGAAAGATGCAAATTTAATCTAAATTAAACTTGTCCAGATGAGTGCAACATCAACAACACTCAAGCAGCTTGACACAATCTAGGGTAAAGCATCCTACTGGATTGCTCCCTCTCCTTCTAAATTCATTCCCTCCATCACCATTGCACAGTCGCATCATCATGTGCCTTCTTATGCACTAACTCACCGAGCTCCCTTACTAGCATCTCACAAGTGCACAATCTCTACCACCCGAAAAGACAAGGGCAACAGATACATAGAAACATCATGACCTGCAAGTTCCCATCTAAGTCACTCACCACCCTGACTTGGAACTACATTCCTTCACTGTTGAATTACCTCCCTATCAATATTGTGGATCTATCAGCCCATGTGCACTGCAGTAGATCACAAAGGAAGCTCATCATCACCTTCAAGGGCAATTAGGAATAGGCAATAAATGCTGTTCTAGCCGGCGATGCCTGCAGCTGGCTTTTGTCATTCCACTGGTCTACACTGGTCAATAAACAAAAATGACACCCAGCAGGTACTGAAGAAAATCTTACTTGAAAACTTTTTTTTCTATAGTTATATAGGCTCACGTTATGAGCTTAAGGTCATGATCTCAGTTGCAAATTCAGTGAAAAACCCTTTCCTAAATGCACGCCAGCATAATGTTGTAGAGGTTTAACTCATGATATAGTGTTTAGCTTTCTCTAACTAAAACCATGTAAAATTCTATGGTAACCAGACAACACTCATCCTGCCCCAACTCCATCCCATCATCCAACTTTCCCATTAACTCTCTGACTGTGCTGCTCCCCAGACAGACCTGACCTTGCCATCTGACTCCTCCCATTTCCCCTCTTGACCCGCTCCACTACACCTTTGATCCACAATTACCCTGTTACACCTGATACAACACCATCCTAACCAACCCGACACCCTACACAGACCACACACATTCACTAACATGTTGAATGAAACAATTTAGACAGGTGGTGCCATAAAAGGGAGGCATGTCCTGACGTCCTCTGTGATCGTTTGCTACAAAGAAGAACTCCAATATCAGACCCCCACTTATGAAGAAGCTCTGTTTTAAACAAGATAAATAGGGGTGGAAGTATCAATCTCCCAAAAGATCTGGGCCCTCATTTTGCAAAGAATCCGGTTGTCCAATTTATATGAAAAATTATAGATTTTACAGGAAAACCACATTTACAAGGTTAAAATGCCAAAACAGGTTCTGGGCCCTGACTGCTTCTAACAGTCTAAATGTTTACTTTTGCTTTCAGAATTAAAACATGAACCACAGTCACACGTATGACAAAAAGAATGCAAAAAGCTATAATCTATATTTGATAGATTATAATTCACAAATATTCACCATTTTACAGAAATGCAATGGTCTCCTGAAATTAAAAAAGGAAAATTAAATGCCAAAAGGAAATGTAAAGAAAGCACAATTATGATCAAGGATTGGTGGTGCTGTGTTGTAATTCACTCAGAATCCAGATCATTACTTTTACATGTATGTTGTAGTCTGGAGCCATAGTTAGTGATGGTAGAGACTGCAACTTTCGATCAACCACATGGCTGATCAGTCTCTTTATGCTTGTACGACCAGCTGTTGGCATGCGATGGAATGATTGTAGATTGACACTTAACCCACTTAGCCACATTATTAACATGCTTTCCTTGGCAATCATATTTGGGGTTGTGATTGGATCCAGTAATTTCTGAATCAGAGACAAGCAGGCACCCACTGCATAACAATTACACTACCTGTAATCTAAGATTACAAAGTTACAAACTAAATACTATGAGAATTATGTTTCTAGAACATGCTCCCATCATCTTACAAACAGTAATACTTTTATATAATATCTGTACCATGTAAATCATGCTTATACTCTTCCATCTTTATAAGTGAGGAAAGAAGCATTTGGAAATTCCTGTATCCACATCCCCAGCCTTTGTCTCCTAAAGAGGCATGGTAGTGATCAGTTTCTGCACACAGAATCACATGCCTTATTTCTGCACCATTTTTCTGATAATGCTGATTTAGCATCTTTATTAGACCTATAAAACAAGAACATAGTTCAATCAGTAAATATACATCAATGGAGCTCAGTTCCTATGCTAGACTAGGGAAAGTTTTTTGTTAGAAATCTATACAGTGATAAAAGCAATCATAAAGTCATTGATTCTTTAATTGTGTGGTTAAGTGCAATTAAATTTTTTCTCAAGTAATGGCTAATTTCAAACTAAAACAAATTCAAAATGATATTAACCAACTTAACCACGTTAATTGTTGTAAAAATCCATCAGTTTCACTAAAGTCCTTCAGGAAAGAAAATCTGCCATCCTTACCCAGCCTATGTGTGACTCCAGACAGTAATGTGGTTGAATCTTAACTGCCCTCTGGGGAATTAGGAATGTAAGTTGGCACTAACTTCCCATGAATGATTAAAAAAAAAACAAAAAAAGAAATGTTTATTAAAAGCAAATTATGCTTTTATTTAAATTAAAAGCAATTAAAGCTATAGAAAGTGTTGTCCAGTTTCTATTAAGTGCTACCTATGAATCAGTTCTCCTGCCTCTCAGTAAGTTTGTTGTGGGTTCAAGTCTCGCCCAAAAACCTAGGCTGATGCCACACTGCAGTTTTGGGGGAAGTGTTGCACTACTGTGTGATAAATCACAGGATTTTACAAAAAGGTTATAACACAAGGATTTGGTTTTAGTATAGAGACAGAACACACTCCCTTATAAAGAAAGCATCCAGAGCAACTTTGAGGGTAACAAACACCGAACAATAAAAGTCATTACCTCTGCCAAGCACGTGTCTTTAGCACAAGCACTGAAACAAGATATTGCTAACTGTAATTTTGGAGGAAGGGGTATACAAGAATTATGTCATGATCCAAATGTAAACAAATGGTCTGAAGGCTAAACACGATGTTCTCACAAGTGATAACTACATAGGCCTCCAATGGAAATAAGAGGGACTATCTTGAATACCTCTCTCTTGCCAAGTGAAAAGATGATTGAAAGATTTGCAGAAATAGGGCTTTTAAAAGGACTCTTGAGAAGGAAAGAAAATCACTTTCGGACATAAAAGGTGGACCAATGTCAGTTTTGAGCCAATACCTTGAATGGCTCAGTAACAACTCAGATGGGAAAGAGCTTTTCCACATGATCAATGCTGGCCAGCCTTCTTCAGATGTAGCAAGATTGTGAGAGTTTCTTAAAGGATCTTGTTTAGTTCAAGGAAATAGAGAACAAAAGAGAACAAAAGAGAAAACTGCAAATAGAACAGGGAAGAAAGTGCTGTCGCCCTCTGAAACTAGTAAGCCACTCTCACTTGTCATGGCATGTGTTTTACTATTTTGCTTATGCATCATATGTAAACTATTGCTTCCTCATAAACCACTTCATAAACTACTCTAAAATCACTAATGAGCTCAGCCCACTTTTTAAGTAATCTGTGAATTCCAAACTTAGGTCCTAATGATAAGGTTGATCTTCCTTCAGATAAGATATTAAAATTGAGGTTCTATCCACTATTCCACGTGGATGTGAAAGATTCCAGGATGCTATTTTGAAGAGTAGGAATTATCTCCCATTTACTGGGCAATATTTATCCCTCAATTGACATCACTACAAACAAATGATCTATTTTTCATGACATTGCTGTTTGTGGCCATTTCCTATGTATAAAAATGGATTCCTACATGATAACTATATTTCAAAGTATGCCATTACAATGTATTTAGGCTATTGTTGGTCCAGTTCTCAAGTTTATCTTTGATTACACCATAATAGATATGCAAGTTCCATTGTGTTAATAGTTTTTCTCAGCCTTGTAGATCTGTATTTGTCTTAATATTTTGGTTTTGTTTAAAACTATAAAAACTGTATGTTTCAAAGAAATTTAAAAATGATCCAATGAATTAGAAAGATTAGGATGGAATTTCTGACATCACAGGATCTGCATTAGAAATGGAGTTGCCTTAGTGTGGCCTTACAAATATTACTCATGATGTAAGATTCTGCTTAGTATTTAAGAACATTCAATTCATAGTAAAAGAAGAAGAACTAATCATACCTGAAGTCCTAGTTGTGCCATCATCTTCTCCAAGTGCTAATGTCTCCATTACTTCTGCTCTTCTGCGATGGTACTCTGCAGGATTCATTTGACCCTGTGCCACAGCCCTCTCCATGTTGCGCATTATCTGTTGTTTGTATCCTCCATGATTATCTAACCCATATTGCCGCTAGAGGAAAACATTTTTTTTTAAGATAGCTTTAAAGTTCCAGTTTTGTACAATATTGACAATAGTGGTTACAGAACCAGCAGTCATCAACATACATTTAAAGCTTTGTTTAAAGAAATACTATGATCTGATAAAGAACTCTTATTTCCATACATTTTGCACTGGCAGATCTCTCATGATATTACACACAACAGCTCAGAGAATGTGGTACTTTCTAACTGTGACAAGGAAAACACAATGGGAAGAAATGTTACATTAAGCGAGTGTGACAGTTAGAAGTAGTATGCATAAAACAAAGACTAAGTAAATATACCTTTTGAAATAAAGCATAGTAGTTGAATTGCGAACAGATGTAGAACACTTAGTGAGAATTTATTATGTTGTGGACATGCTATGGAAAGAGCACGTAAACCCTTCTCCAAGGTCCATCCAATTCTTTGAAGTAATAAAGGTCAAAAACAAGCTGCTATTATGGATCTAACGTATCTCCCTTCAGATGCTGTACAATACCCTGTTGTTCCACACTGTACTCAGCAACCAATGTTCGATTAATAAAGAAGCAACTAAAGTGAAATTGAATGGGTATTTACTCTCAACTGAGAAACCTTCAGTTCCTAGACCCAACATAACATTTAGCATGTCGAAAACAAACACCACTCAGATAACTAATATATTGATGTTAAACTCACATACATATACATAAAATGTTAAAAAATGTGGCCTAGGAATTTGTTACCAGCAGGACTATTATACAGGCATAAAATGTGCATTTCAGAATCTAATTTGTTTAATGGTGTGTGCACACCCATTTTGTACCCAAAGGGCAAACCATCATATTTGTAACGATTCCTGAAATATCTAGGGAGTGTGCCTGAAAAAAAGGTATTATGGCCTTTGTGTATGAATATAGATCTGTTTCAGACAATCTTTGCAAAATTTATTTATACTGTGCATGATGCAAGCAATTTTGTAATGCATTTGGCAGCCAAATTAGTGGTTCTTAGAGCGGAGGGCTGAAGGTTCTAACCAGACATTTCTATCAACCCTATTCTAGGGGGGCCTTTTGTGGTGCAGTGGTAGTGTGCCTACTCCTGGACCAAGAGGCCTGGATTCAAGTCCCACTTGTTCCAGAGGTGAGTATTAACATCTTCAACGGGTTAATTAGAAAAAAAAGGTTAAAAAAAGCTATATTCAATTGAACAGATGGATTAGAAAAAATAGATTGAAATAAAAAAAGTCAACCTGATTCTACTTTGAACAATGTGTAAGCTGCCAGCAAAAACATTTGTATTGATGGAACTGAGCTTGCAAGTCAAAACAAACTATTGTTTGTTACAATGTTATTTCCAGATTACATTTGTATTTTTCATTTCCTTCGTCCACTTCCCTCAACTGTTCTGCAACTTCCTTTTCCCTATTTTCCTTTCTGACCTTCCCTCTCTTCTGTCATTTATATCTCCATTGGCTCGCTTACTACTCTCTTGCCCTGGCCTTCCCCTTCCCCTTCCTTTTTGATCTTTCTGGACATAGTCTGTCTTTGTCTTCTCCACCTTTTGTTTTTATTTCTTGTTTCTTGCCCTTTCACCACTGATCTTCTACTCCTCCCATCCTTCCTTCCCCTTCAAATCTTTCTAATCTGCTCAGATTAGCATCTTCTCTACAGCCACAGTATTCATGTTACCTACATGTCTGCCTCAGTTACTATCTTGCATAAAAAGGTGCAAATCTATTTTGTGACCATCTGCATTCAGGACTGCCTGTACTGTCCAAAAGAAGAGCACAATCTGAGGATGTAACAACAGGACCCTCTTGTGATAAAATATTCTTTTGCATGTTACATTCTGATATAGGTTGTAATGGTAAATTCACTGTGCTTCAACCTTACTCCAATGCTCTACTGATCTTCAATTTTATCTTGTTTCCCTATTCATTTACCCTACTTTCGCTCTTTCTGCTTCTACTAGATTCTAACCCAGCTCCCTCATACAGAGCTTTCATTCTGTGCATAGCCTTTCCGAGTCAGATGGGCATAGGTTCAGGTCCCATTCCCAGGCCTTAACTGCATAAGCTACATAACCACATTGAAGGTGGACATAAAAGATTGCAAAATCTTTTATTCAAAGAATGGGCGAGTCCTACTTGTAACTTTAACACATCCTTCAACTAACACTAAAAACAGGTTATCAGACCACTTTTCTCACTGTTGTTTGTAAGACGTTGTTTAGCAAAAATTGGTTGCATGTGACTAAATATCAAAAATGTATTTTTCTGGCAGTAAATGCTTCGTAGTTGTAGATGTTGGGGTGTTCGCCGAGCTGGGAGGTTTGATAGCAGACATTTCGTTCCCTTACTAGGTGACATCTTCAGTGCTGTGGAGCGTCCTGCGAAGCGCTGTTGTCTTGTGCCAGTTTGAATTTACATGGTCTGGTTTTTGCTGCTTCCCGTGGATTCCAGTTCCGGGTGTGCGTTGTAATGGTTGGTATATTGGGTCTAATTCAATGTGTTTGTTGATGGAGTCCGCAGATGAATGCTAAGCCTCCAAGAATTCCCTAACTGTCCTCTGTTTGGCTTGTCCAATGATAGTAGTGTTGTCCCAGTTGAAAGTGTGGTTTTTCTCGTCTGTGTATTGAAACCAAGGACATCTGGTCCCGTCGTTTAGTTGCTAGCTGGTGATCGTGGATGTGGGTTGCTAGTTGTCTGCCTGTTGATCCCATGTAGTGTTTCGTGCAGTCTCCACATGGTATCTTGTAAGCCACATTCGTCCTGTCCATGGTATCTATTGAGTCTTTAACCCTGGTCAGTTGCTGTCTTAGTTTGGCTGCCGGTTTGTGTGCTATCATGATTCCTAGCGGGCTGAGTAGTCTGGCTGTCAGTTCGGAGGTGTTTTTTATATATGGTATGGTGGTTATTGCTTCGGGTTTTGGTGCGTCCTGGTTGCATTGTGTGTTAGCTAAGCATCTGTGGATGAAGCTGTATGGGATCCATTCCTGGTAAAGACCTTATAGAGGCATTCTTCTTCTTCCTTCTGCAGATTGGGTGTGCTGCAGTATGTTGTGGCCCATTTGAACAGGGTCCTAATGCAGCTCTTCTTGTGAGAGTTGGGGTGGTTGTGGAGATCTTTTAAGACCTGGTCAGTATGTGTGGATTTCCTGTACACTTTTGTAGTGAAGTCACCATTCTCTTTTCTTTCCAATATCACGTCCAGGAATGCGAGTTTGTTGTTGTTTTCCTCTTCTGGAGTAAATTTGATCCCTGTGAGTATGGTCTTGATGAGTCGGTGGGTGTTCCCAATTTCTGTTCTTTTCATAATTACAAAAGTGTCATCCACATATCTGATCCAGAGCTTGGGTTGGATCTGTGGGACGACAGTTCGTTCCAGTCTTTGCATGGCTGTTTCAGCTATCAAAGAGATGGGTAAGCCCAAGGGAGTCCCATTGATCTGCTCATACATCTGGCTGTTGAATGTCAAGTGGGTTGTTAAGCATAAGCCCAGTAGTTTGAGTGTACAGTGTTTGTTGATCTGTTCCTCGTTCTGTTATCTGTTGGTTCATTTAGTAGGTTAGGTTGGATATGGTTTGATTGGCAAGGTTTCTGTCGATTGATGTGAACAATGCTGTTACATCAAACGAGATCATCACTTCTTCTTTGTCTATTTTAATGTTCTTGATGTTGTCCAGGAATTCTTGTGTTGATTGTGTGGAGTGTCGTGAACTACTGATTAGATGTTTAAGCTTTTGTCGTAGTTCCTTTGCTAATTTGTGTGATTGGGCTCCTGGTAGAGCCACAATTGGTCTGAGAGATATGTCAGGCTTGTGCACCTTAGGCAGTCCATAGAATCTTGAAGTGTTGTTGCCTTCTAGTTTCATCCTTTGTAATTCTGTTTTTGTTATCTGTCCTGTTTTGTGTAGGTTCCGTAGTGTATTGGTTATTCTGTTTGTTAGCAGTGCTGTGGGGTCTCACTCCCTCTGTTGGTTAGTTTGTGCATCTGCAAATAGTTCTTCAGCTTTTTGTATGTAGTCTGTTTTGTTCATTACCACTGTCATTCTGCCTTTATCAGCAGGAGCAATAATGATGTTTTTTCCTTTTTGAGGTTCTTCAAGGCATCCCTTACCTCTTTGTCAAGTATGTTCATTTGTGTTCTCTTCGTCAGTAAGGGTACAATGGTCTGTCTGATCATTTTTTATGTTTCCTTGTTTAGTCCGTTGTTTCTGAGTGTGGACTCTTAGTGCTGCCAGAAAGTCTGTTTTTTTAGCGACTCTGTGGTCATAGTTCAGTCCTTTGATTAGTACTGTTTTTTCTGTATCTGTGAGCTGTCTGTTGGAGAGGTTTCTTATCCATTTACCAGTCATGTTGTCTCCTCTGTGGTTGGTCAATTTGGTCATTTTTGTCTGTAGTGTTGTTTTCTTTTGTGCGTGGTCCTGTTCTGTGTTACTGTGATGGCCCGTTCGATTCTCGTAGTCCACTTCAATTAGTCTCTTTTGAAATTAATGACTTTTGGCACGTGATTTCTTGTTTGCACCTGTGGAGTCTGTTATGGGCATCTGTGATCATGACTTGTATTATCCTGCGGCCGTTCTGTCTGACTGTTTCTCTGGCTTGTGGGTTATTAATTGGTGTCTGTACCTTAAGCATGGTGGTAGTAGTTTTTTGTGGCACTTATGTAGGAATCTGAGTTGTTCATATGTGGCACTTAGTCGGTTGGCACAGGATTCCTACTTCCTTGCTTGCTTTAGCGTCTCACGCCCGTAGGTGTTCAGGATTTGACCTTGAATTTTTTTTCTTTATTCATTCACAGGATGAGGGTGTCGCTGGCTAGGCAGCATTTATTGCCCATCCCTAATTGACCAGAGAGCAGTTGAGAGTCAACCACATTGCTGTGGGTCTGGTGTCACATGTAGGCCAGACCAGGTAAGGATGGCAGTTTCCTTCCCTAAAAGGACATTAGTGAACCAGGTGGGTTTTTCCCGACAATTGACAATGGGTTTACGGTCATCGTTAGATTCTTAATTCCAGATATTTTATTGAATTCAAATTCCACCTTCTACCAGGGCGGGATTCGAACCACAGAACATTATCTGGGTCTCTGGATTATCAGTCCAGCGATAATACCGCTAGGCCATCGCCTCCCCCTTAGTAGTATTTAAAGGTGATAAAAAGCATTAAGTACCAGTACAACTTACTTCATTTCTCACTCTATTCTGCCTTCTCTTTTCTTACCTCGGATTCTATTACCGTACTAAGGTCTCCTTTATCACCCTGTCAGCTCTTACATTTCCTGACAACAGAGAGGGGAAAAGAGACACAATAAATTCTGGAAAGAGAGTCTGACCTAGCAAAAGAAGCTCAATCAGAACCGCTTCTGATGAAAGGTCACTGGACCCACAACAATAACTCTGATTTCTCTCCACAGATGCTGCCAGACCTGCTGAGATTTTCCAGCAATTTCTGTTTTTGTTGTTGCAAATAGGATAAGTGTGGGATACTTTTTTCTTGGTTTATGAAGTTAGATGTGAGGTTCATTAATAGGTAATATGACGAGTCCTCACCTTCATGTACCATATACAAAATAAAACATCTTAATAATATGCATTTTTCATCTAATCCTTTATTTAAAAAAACTTATACATCAGTGTGAAAGCAAAATTTAAATATGGCATATCAGGACATTAGGGGTTCCACTGTTACAGCATCAGGTTGTGCTATTACATCAGAGTGCACAGTCCTGACAGACTGAATGCAAGATGCCCAGACTATTCAAAAAATAGATCTGCATCTTTGCCCGAAGAGGAGTATCTAAGGCAAATCTGACTGCAGTCCCGGAGAAGTTACAAAAAAGCAGCACAATGGTGTCATATACAGGCGAAAAGTTTCAAATATTGACAACAAGTTTAAGAACTATAAGAAAGAACGTATCTAGAGTTCACTGCAAATACCTGAAGTTTTTGAAATTCATCCTGTTCTCTTTTTGTTTCAATAGCCTTCCTTTGCATTTCCTCATCCTCCTGTAGTTTTTGGGCCAATTGACGATCAGCTAGGGCACATTCTGTAGATAGATCAGTAGAACAGTGGAGTTACAATACAAATATTAAATACATATCCAAAAATACCTAAGCAGACCAAAGTGTTAAATTGGTTTACTTCCTGGTCTTATGATAGACCTGTATGCTAGGCTTTCCTGTCATGCCTATATCCTAATGAGGATTTTTTTTTAAAATCATGCCTTTAAAAAACCTGACTTTGCATGTATATAATCATACAGGTAATTATATAGTTTCTGAGAGCCATAGGACATGCTCTTTTACAGGAACATTATGCACAATATACAATGTATTATATTAAGTCATCAAAATGCTTTTCCCTATCCCCACAACTGAAAATTTATATTCTGATAAACTGCTTCCTCAAACATTCTGCTTCTTGCAAAACAAGAAATGCATCCCATCTGAAAGCTGGAAAACACCTAAATTTTGGCAATTCCTTTTCTAGTAGCAGAGCAGAAATGTGACAAATCAGATTAGTTACAGCCCATCAATATTTTTAACATAAATCGACCTTTGGCCTTATGGTAATAGGGATGAGGTAGTCATAAAATAAAAGTTGAAGCTGATTTTATGATGGAAAGAATAATTTGAAACTCATCTCTGCAATATCTCACGCTTCTTGTGTAATTGGGAAAGAGGTCAGAGGTACAGCTAAGGTTGCTGAGTTTATGGCACATTGTTTTAGTGTTCTTGATGTTTCACTGAAGGAAGTAATGACTGATCCTACTTCAATGTTAGGTCTTTATGAGATCTCAGAGGCAGGAATGGGATCAGGAAACTGCTGGAAGAAGTGCCCAACTGGGTTTCACAAGCATCCCTGAGGAAACTAACCCATTCCCAACATCAAAAAGAGCATCACGTGGTTGAAGAAACAAAAAGGGAAATAATGTCAAAATTAAATCTGAGAGGAATTCTGAAGGTAAGGCACTGGCTGTTCTCAGACATGTAGGATTGAAATTACACAAGGTTTGTTCCAAGGAGCTGACAACTTCGCAGATTCAACACGCTACTCTAACACTTGTTAAAGAGGTCAAGGAGGGATAATGCACTCAGTTGGTCAATATCACAAAAATTAACCATTTATAACTTTTGCAAGAATTGCTTTGATGCTTTCAACTGGGCAAAAGGTTGTCTGAAAAAAAGAACAAAAATTGTGTACACAGCATCAAGGCAATGATGCATTCAAAGACCTTATATGAAAAAGGGACATCAAAAGATACGCAAGTTGAATTGCTAAAAATGAGATTAATTAAGTGGACAGTAATGGTGATGACAGTTCAAAATGGGAGATGATGCCCAAGAATAGGAAGCTACTAACAACATCAGTGAGCATGATGTCTAGTGAGAGTAGTTCAATAGTCAACATGTAGTAGTGCAGGGATTTGCACTGGCCTTTCTCACTGTTGTTGATTGGTCAATTAGGAGCCGCAACTGGCCCAAAAGTGAGCAGATTGGCATCTTGACCACTGGTAAAATCATTACAGAAGCATGTAGGGAGCAGGCACATGCCTTCCCATGGTGTCCAACTTAAAGGCATTCACCCATCAACATCCTCCTCAGGTCTCCTGTACCCACAAGGGCAGCTACGAAATTCAAGTCTGTGAATGACTAGGAATGACAGCATTAAAGACAGAGCAAGAGAGAAGCTGAGCAGGTCAACGCCAAAAGTTGATTGTATGAGTGGAGGACTGAAAGATAGGGTGCTCTGACACTGAAAGGCAATTGTTTACAGAATGGACACAGCAGGCCAAGCAGCATCAGAGGAGCAGGAAAGCAAGAAATTTCTGAAGAAGGGTCCAGACCCGAAACGTCAGCTTTCCTGCTCCTCTGATGCTCCTTGGCCTGCTGTGTTCATCCAGCTCGACACCTTGTTATCTCAGATTCTCCAGCAACGGCAGTTCCCACTATCTCTGTTTACGGAATGAATTTCTTTCCCCCCCAGCAGTGGATAGCAAAGGTTCTGGGCGGTAGAAGCAAGTGGCAACATAAACCTACCTCAATGATTGACAGTGTAAAGGTCATAGAAGAGCACAGGATCAAAGAGGATGATTATGATAGCAAGCAGAGGAGTTTATATGGAGTAAGATTGAGAAGGACAGGAGAAATGAGTTTGATCTTTCAACCCACTAGGGTTTCAAATTTCATAACAGATCAAGGTCAGACGTCCAAATTAGAATCTGATGCAACTTCCACATTATTACTAACTCTTCATATCTTAGAAATCACACAATCAACACATTGTCTAATTAACTATGACTAGAATTTAGATACTACCCATGCAAGAACTGGCCTGGCTCATTCTGACAAGTCATAGTCTTCTGAACTCAGTCACCTCTTTGCAATGGCTGGTCTCAATTTTTTGCTGCGGATACCTCTGGTCTGCTTTCTTTTGTATGTTTGCTCCCATATTCCACAAGAATTCATAATTCTGAGCTGATTTACCCAATAGTCATGTAAACAGGAGACATCTGTATTCATGGTTGCTCTTATCAGAATTATTTTGTCCCTTTGTGCAACCACAAAGGCCTAATGATCTTTAGCATCAGCCATTTGCCTAGTCAGCAGTCTAGTTTTACTTCTTCCTTCTACAGCAAGCTGCTCGGTTAGTATAAAGTTAGCATAATTTCCCATCACATGTGTCAAGCTTCACCTGTTAGCCATAAGGCCATAGTTAGCCATAAGATCAAAGAGTTAAAACATTTAGGTATGAAAGAAAATCATTTTGGATGAGGCTGAAGCATTTGCAGCAATCTTCAAGGTACAAGTCCCCAGTGGATGATTCATTTCAGCCTCCTCAGGGGTCCTCAGCATTACAATTGTCAGTCTTCAGGTAATTTAATTCACTCCATGTCAATGGCAAAAAATGTTTGGAGGCACTGGATACTGCAAAGGTTTCTAGGTCTTCACAATATCTTGGCAATAGTAGTGAAGATAGGTGCTGCAGATCTTGATGTGCTCCCTAGCCAAGCTGTTCCAGTACAGCTACAATACAGGTATCTAACCAACGATGTGGAAAATTGCCCCAGTATGTCCTATGCATGAGATCAACAGCAATTCCAACCTGGCCAAACACCAAATATTCTCGAACATCAGTAAAGCGTTTGCGTGAGATCATCAACAATGTTATTAAGCAGAACATGCTTAGCATTAATCTGTGCAGTGACACTCCTTTCGAGTTGCAGCAGGGCCACTAAGCTCAACCATATCACAGAGTTAGTTCAAAACTGGACAAAATAGATGAACTCTAGACACAAGGTGCACAACTGCTCTTGACATCAAGGATCGCATTTGAAAGAGTTTAATGTTAAGGTGCCGTAACAAAACTGCAGTCGATGGAAATCGGGGCAGTAAGGGTGGGCAGTTGGATTTCCACTGGCAAGACTCATATGTAGCAAAAAGCTAAAATGATTGTGGTTGTTGGAGGTCACTCACCTCCGTAGAAGTTCCTCAAGGTAAGAAAAAGGAGACATATGTAACACATTTAGGAAACCGAAGACAGACAGAGCCCTTAAAGAATACAAAGAAAGCAGGAAATAACTCAAACAAGAAATTAGAGGGCTAAATGGGGCTGTGAAATGGCTTTGGCAAACAGGATTAAAGAGAATCCCAAGGCATTTTATGCATATATAAGTAGCAAGAGAGTAGCTAGGGAAAGGGTAGCTATACTCAAGGATAAAGGAGGGAATTTACGCATGGAGCCGGAAGAAGTGGGTGGAATCCTTAATGAATACTTTGTATCAGTATCCACAAAACAGACAGATACGGTGGATGGTGAGTCTCGGGAGGGGTTTGTTAATATTCTGGGGCATGCCAATATAAAAAAAAGGTGTTGGGTGTTTTGAAAAGCATTAAGGCAGACAAGTCCCCAGAGCCTGATGGGATCTCTCAAAATGCTGAGGGAAGAAATTGTTGGGGTCTTGCACGAAATCTTTGCATCCTCCCCTTAGCCAACACTGTTTCTTTGTTTAGGAAGGGCAATTGGGATAATCTGGGAAATTACAGACCAGTGAGATTTACGTCAGTGGTAGGGAAATTATTGGAAAAGATTCTTAGTGATAGGATTTACTCACATTTGGAAAAAATATGGACTTATTAGTGACAGGCAGTATGGCTTTGGGCAGGAAGGTTCTGTCTCTCAAACTTAATTTGGGTTTTTTTGAGGAAGTGACAAAGATGATTGATGAGGGCTGGCTGTTGTCTCTATGGACTTTAGTAAAGCCACTCATAGCAGGCTGATACAAAAGGTGACGTCACATAGGATCCATAGTGAGCTGGTAAGATGGATACAGAATTGGCTTAGCCACAGACGACATGCAACAGTGATGGAAAGGTGTTTTTCAAATTGGAAATTTCTGACCAGTGGTATTCCATAGGGATCAGAACTGGGATCCCTGTTGTTTGTAATATATATAAATAATTTTGAGAAGAATGTAGGTGGCATAAACAGTAAGTTTGTCGACTATACAATGATAGGGGGAGCTGCAGATAGTGAAGAGGATTGCCAGAGGATCCAGCAGTGATAAAGGTAGCCAGACAACTGGATGGAGAAATGGCAGCTGGGGCTTAGTCTGCACAAGTGCAAGGTGATGCATTTTGGGAGATCTAATACAGGAGGCAGAACCCTTAATAGCATCAACATACAGAGGGATCTCGAGGTACAGGTTCACAGTTCCCTCAAATAGGTAACGCAAGTGGATAAGGTGATCAAGAAGGCAAACGGCATGCGTGCCTTCATTTATCAAGGCACAGAGTATTAAAAATTGGCAAGTCATGTTGCAGTTGTTTACAACTTTTGTTAGGCCACATCTGGAATATCGTGTATAGTTCTGGTTGCCACATTACCAGAAGTATGTGGAGTCTTTGGTGAGGGTACAGAAATGGCTTACCTGGATGTGCCTGGTTTGGAAGGTATTGGGTATGAGAGATTGGACAAACTTGGTTTGATTTCACTTGAACAAAGGGTGAGAGGTGACCTGATAGAAGGTTACAAAATTATGAGGGGCATGGATAGAATTGATAGTTATAGTCTTTTTCCCAGGGTAGAAATGTCAATTCCTAGAGGACACAGGTTTAAGGTAAAAGGGTGAAGGTTTAAAGGCTATGTGAGAGCAGTTTTTTTTTAAACACAGAGGTGAGTGCCTGGAATGCACTGCCAGAGGTGGTGGTGCAGTAGATACAATAGGAATGTTTATAAAGCACCTTGACAAATAACTGAGTAGGCAAGGAGCAGAGGGAAATAGGCAACATAGAAGCAAAAGGTTTTTAATTCAGTAAGGTGTCCTGTGCTAGCACAGTCTTGGTGGGCCAAAGGGGCTGTTCCTGTGCTATACTGCTTTTTGTTCTTTGTAATGTCCACAGCCAAACCATCTTCAGCTGCTTCATCGATGACTTCTCCTTGACCATAAGTCACAAATGGAGGTGATTGCTGACGATTATCCAATATTCAACACTATTTATGACTTTTCACATTCTGAAGCAGTCCATGGTTAAAAGCAGAAAACCTGGATGACGTCCAGGCTTAGGTTAACAAGTGACAAGTAACATTCGTATCACACAAGTGCCAGGCATTCATCACCCAACAAGAAAAAAAATCCTACCATCACCCCTTGACATTCAAGAACACTAGCATTTCTAAATCATTCACTATCAAAGTCCGAGGTGTCACCAATAAATATAAACTGAATTGATTAATACTGTGGCTCCAGAGCAGTCAGAGGTGAGGAACATTGTAACAAGTAACTCACCTCATAACAGCCCAAAATCTTGTTCACCATCTACATGGTACATGTCAGAAGTGTGATAGAATATTCACCACTTGCCAGGATGAGTGAAGATCCAACAACACTTAAGAAGCTTTACATTATCAAAGACAAAGAAACTTGCTTTATTGGCACCATGTCCACAAACATTCACTTCCTCCACCACTAATTCACAATAGCAGCAATGTACACCATCTGCAAGGTGCACTGCAGTAATTCACCAGGTTCCTTAGACAGCTCCTTACATATTCACAACTAGTACCATTTAGAAGGACAAGAGAAGAAGATACATGGGAACACTACAACCTGCAAGTTCCCCTTCAAGCCAGTCACCATCCTGATTTGGAAATATATCACTGTTCCTTCTGTTTTGCTAGGTCGAAATTATGGCATGCCTCTCCAGCAGCATTGAAGATCTACCTACTGGCAAGGACTGCAGTGGTTTAAGAAGGCTGCTCACCATCACCTTCTCATGGGTAGTTAGAGTTGGGCAACAAATGCTGGTCCAGCCAAAGAAGTCCACATCCCCTGAATGAATGAAAAACAAAAAAATACTTGACCCAGAAGATGGGTGAAGCACTCAGCATGGGATTTAGAAGATAAGATGATACAAGGTAAGGATTGTTAAACAGAAGGAAGAGGCATCCGAAAGAAAACTTGAGAATAGCAGAGGGAAGAGTCTAAGGCACAACTTTCAGTAAGTACTGTGCAATCACCTTGGCAATCTGGACAGGGTAACTGATGAAATGTACAGCATTCAAAACACAAAAATAAATTGTATTACTCGGTCTCAGAAGAGTGCACATGAAATAAAAACTCCAAAACCTAGAAATTTGGAATAAAGCAAAAATACAATGTCTTGGTATTATTACAATAACGTGAAATATTTCACAAAAAAAATCATTTCATAGAGTTTGTCATAACAGTTTTCACAATCTTATTGAGGAAGTAACAACACATTACCTTCAGCTCTGCTCTCAGCTAAATGTAACTCAACATGTTCCTGAAGTATTTGACAACTTACAAATACCAATTTGCACATGGGACACGGATAGAGCCTCTGCTTTCCACAACCTAATAAACACAAGGTGAAAAGTAAACTTAGCCAAATGTACAAAATAGTATTTGATAATAAATAAGACATTTTCGTTTTAAAAAGTGAAGAACTAATTGTTTTGTGATTCGCTATAATGAACACCCCTACCCTGCTGTTTTTCCAAATGAAGGAATAAATGTACAAAGTGGCAGAGTTCAGTTTGATATTGTACACTTCCACAGGGTACTCAACTCAATTTTTTTTTAAGGGAAAAGGTGCTATTGTTTTATTTTGCAAGAGTAGACTGAGAGAAGGAAGAAGACCAAAGATCTAGAGATATTAATCAGGTGAGCTGTTAGGTGTTTGTTTGATGAAATTTCCCAATTTTTCTCAAAATGAGGGCTGTAGTTTAGGAATGGGAGATGTAGTACTATATTAAAGGTATAACTTAACTAATTTATTACTTAATGTAACTACAGATAATCATTGGGTAATACTACAGACGTAAAAAACAAATTAGTTAAATATAAAGATGGAATAGCAGATAATGTAATATACAGTGATGCTGGACATCAGATGAACCACAGTAGCCACACCTTCAGTACCAGGAGCTCAGGGAAATTTGGTTCAGAATGATGAGCTACAGTCCAAGCTTCAAACACTAACACATCAGGGAGGGGAAAGTTACCTGGAGATCTTGTTCCAAAAGGCAGTCACACCCAAGTTAAATACCTCTTTTTGGCTTGTGCTCAGGGCTAAGACAGCATAACTGAATGTGAGGCTGGTTTGAGGGTCCAGAGGTTAGTAATGGAGGAGCCTCAAACTTCAGTTTTCCCAAGATTTAATTAGACAAAATTTCTACTTATCCAATACTCCATGATAGAGAAGCAGTCTGACAATTTGTCAATCAATGGAGGTGTAAAAGGAAGTGTGCATTATCAGTGTACATGTATGACATTAAAATTATCTGTAAACACATCAAGGGGCAATAAATAGATGAGTAATAGGAGATTCCAAGGTTAGATCTTCGTGGAAGCCAGAGGTAATTCTGCTGAATGAGAAGACACACCACCAATGCAAACTCTCACCACTAATAGTGATTCTTTGGCTACAGTTAACTAAAAATGGAACCAGGTAAGTCAATACAACACAACTGAACTTTGGAGGAGAGGCACTGGAATAGCATGCTGTGATCAAGTGTGTTGCAGGCTGCAGGCTGCAGACAAGGTGAGAAGGATTAGGAGGGATATTTATTTTTGCCATACTCTCAGGGTGACATTTGCAACTTTGATCTGTTATTTCAATAATATAGCACAAGGCAGGGTCAACAGTCGAGGTATTCAGAGAAGCTCGACAGATTGGAAACAGGGCAGAAGTTTGAAAGGATGGAGGGACCAGATCTTGATTTCAATACTACAAGGCTGACAGCATTGGATTTAAAGGAGAAAGGAGTAGAACCTGAAGAGAAAGAACCATGAACAATATCGGATAACACGGGAGCCAGAAAAGAAAGTGGAGTGGTTAGTAGTTTCACGGACATTGGGCTCAGGGTGAGGGCTCTAAGTGGAGCTGAGACAAACAGGTGAGGATAAATCCATCATGGAAGTCTGCTATTTATTTGAAAATTGGTGACATTTATTTTGCCCCCCTTGCCCCAAAAGCGTTCTGATACACTGAAAACATTTTTATTTTTGTTTTAATCTTGCATGGGACGTGGGCGTCACTGACGAGGCCGACGTTTGTTACCCAATCCTAACTGCCTGTCAAGTGAAAAGCTTCCTGCACATTTCAGGGAGCAATTAAGAATGAACCACATTCATGTGTGTTTGGAGTCACATGAAGGCCAAAGCAGATAAGAATGACAGATTTTCTTCCTTAAAGGATCTTAGCGAAGCAGATGGGATTTTTTGACATTGATGACAGTTGTCATTGTCACGAATGAGATTAGCCTTCAATTTAAGATTTATTAATTGAATTTAAATGCCAGCTATTTTTGTGGTAGAATTCAGACCTGTATCTTCACAGCAATAGCCTGGGCCTCTGGATTACTAACCCACTCACACTTCCTCTAAATGACCATCAAATTAGAAGCATCATACACAAGTTCATACCTTTTTGAGGAGTTTCCAAGATCTCAGCATGTTTGCTTTTAACATGTTCACTTAGATCCTCTCCTGCATTTCCAATAAGGCCACAAAAAGGACATTCTGGGGTATCAAACTTCATGGATTCTTCAGAAGTACTACAAAGTCCATTGCTTTTTGTCTCTCTACGATTCTTATCAAATAGTGTTTGCTCAGGTTGTCTCCAAACTTTTCCTGAAAAGTGTCCATTGACAGATTCTGATTGTATTAATCTTTTAGGTTCGCTTTTTGTCTTTACGTTTTGTCTGAATGTTCTCTCACAGTCAGATGGTGAAGCAGAGTGAGACATCTGAAGCTGTTCTGGTTTGGGCTTTTCCATCCTGTCCCCTCCAAATTCTTGTGGTTCCAGGGTTGTTTTATGTTTTAAATCAGTCAACCTACTGGTCTGAAGTGAAGAATCAAGAACCCCTTCTTGTTCAATGGAATACATTGTCCTGTTATCATCCACAGGTTTCACCTCACTGTGGGAAGTTTCTATATGGAACATTAATTCATTATAACTGATTCCTGATAGGTTGCACATTGGACAACTGTATTCATTTTCTTCATGCATGATAAGAATGTGTGTCCTCATGTCTGGTTCTGACAAGCCACCTTGCCCACAAATATCACAGGTAAACATGTTGGATTAGTTACTTGACACTCATTCAGCTATTTAAGAAAAGGAAAAAGAAATGTGATTGTCCAATACAAAGCATGTAAATATGAACAATATATTCTGTAGTAATTATGATGCATATAGAATACGCACAAAAAAAACTTAGATCCTGCAATGTTAGTCAATGTATTTCCTTTTAAAAATACCCAGATCCTCTTTTTTCTTTCTGAAGAAGGGTCGAGGCCTGAAACGTCAGCTTGCCTGCTCCTCTGATGCTGCTTGGCCTGCTGTGTTCATCCAGCTCTACACCTTGTTATCTCAGATCCTCATGTGGTTGTGTTGAAACTAAAATAGTTTTTCAGAATATATCCAATGGGTGTTACGATCTCTTCAATAATAATACACCACAGTCCAACTCAATCTTCACCTAACTTGATGCCCATATTTTAAGGGGAGTAACTGGACAGCCATGAGAAGAAAGAAACTCAATTGATTTTTCCACAGGATTGCTGGAGGCCAAGGGTCAGACCAAAACTACCAGCTGACATCAGATAACATAGTAAACACCATGAAAAAATATTGCATTTATATTGCACCATTCACAATTGGATTTCATTTAAAAGAAATTTCTTCATTGGCAGTAAACTAAAATATAGTCATTGTTGTGATGCAGGAAACATGACAGTAAATTTGCATATAGCAAGTTCCTCCAAATAGTAAAGTAAGGTGAAGTCATCATAGTCGCAGAGGACCATCAAGCTGCTCTCTCATTAGAGAGAGAGGTGACTGGTGATGAGTTTAACTTGACGGTGGCTCAAGTGAGATTGAGAAGGCAGGACCTTCATGTTGACTTCAGCCAATGTGGGAATTGAACACATGCTGTTGGTGTCACTCTGCATCACCAAAATTCATTCCAGTCAACTGGGATAAATGACCCCCACTCCAAACTACCATGATAAAGGCTAGATAATCAGTGTCTGTGACGTTGCTTGAATGATAAAATTTTAGGCAGGATACCAGGGATAACTGGCCTACTCTTTCAAAACGATCCCATAGACTTTTACATTGACGTCCAAGACAGGCTAGATGAGGAGGTCTCAGTTTAATGTCTCATATGAAACACAGTACCTCCAACTGTGCAGCAGTTGCTTACTTGGCATTGGATTGTCAGCTTTGATTGTGACACTCGTGTCCTGGAGTGGAACTAATCCACGGTACTGAAAATTTTGAGATTAAGGAAGTATAGACATAAAAGCTTTTCAATTCTGGATTGCTGAACATAAAATAAGTATTCACTTTTATGTATGTCAAGGAACCCACAACCTGAAATGTACACATTTAAAATTGAGTCAGACAATTCTATCATGCATAGCTCTAGAGTCAGTGGATATTAAATACTCATTACCAGATTAAGGATGCATGAAATGATTTAGCAACATTATAGCAGTTTCAAATACAGCTTCTGTCACATGGAAAATTGCACTTCTTAAAACAGTGATCTCTTTTAGCAAGAGATAGTAGGAACTGCAGATGCTGGAGAATCCAAGACAACAAGGTGCAGAGCTGGATGAACACAGCAGGCCAAGCAGCATCATAGGAGCAGAAAGGCTGACGTTTCGGGCCTAGATCCTTCATCAGAAATGGGGGAGGGGAATGGGGTTCTGAAATAAATAGGGAGAGAGGGGGAGGCGGATAGAAGAGGATAGGTGGAGAGGAAACAGACAGGTCAAAGAGGCGGGGATGGAGCCAGTAAAGGTGAGTGTAGGTGGGGAGTTAGGGAGGGGATAGGTCAGTCCAGGGAGGACGGACAGGTCAAGGGGGCGGGATGAGGTTAGTAGGTAGGAGATGGGGATGCGGCTTGAGGTGGGAGGAGGGGATAGGTGGGAGGAAGAACAGGTTAGGGAGGCAGGGACGAGCTGGACTGGTTTTGGGATGCGGTAGGGGGAGGGGAGATTTTGAAGCTTGTGAAATCCACATTGATACCATTGGGCTGCAGGGTTCCCAAGCAGAATATGAGTTGCTGTTCCTGCAACCTTCGGGTGGCATCGTTGTGGCACTGCAGGAGGGCCAGGATGGACATGTCGTCTGAGGAATGGGAGGGGGAGTTGAAATGGTTCACGACTGGGAGGTGCAGTTGTTTATTGCGAACCGAGCGTAGGTGTTCTGCAAGGCGGTCCCCGAGCCTCTGCTTGGTTTCCCCAATGTAGAGGAGGCCACAACGGGTACAGCGGATGCAGTATACCACATTGGTAGATGTGCAGGTGAACATCTGCTTGATGTGGAAAGTCTTCTTGGGGCCTAGGATGGGGGTGAGGGAGGAGGTATGGGGGCAGGTGTAGCACTTCCTGCGGTTGCAGGGAAAACTGCCGGGCGAGGTGGGGCTGGAGGGGAGTGTGGAGTGAACAAGGGAGTCACGGAGAGAGTGGTCCCTCCGGAAAGCAGATAAGGGTGGGGAGGGAAAGATGTCTTTGGTGGTGGGGTCGGATTGCAGATGGCGGAAGTGTCGGAGGATGATGCGTTGGATCTGGAGGTTGGTGGGGTGGTACGTGAGGACGAGGGGCATTCTTTTTTGGTTCTTATTGTGGGGACGGGGTGTGAGGGATGAGTTGCGGGAAATGTGGGAGACACGGTTGGGGGTGTTCTCGACCACTGAGAGGGGGGAAGTGGCGATCCTTGAAAAACGAGGACAAATGAGATGTACGGGAGTGGAATGCCTCATCCTGGGAGCAGATGCGGCGGAGGCGAAGGAATTGGGAATAGGGGATCGCATTTTTGCAGGAAGGTGGGTGGGAGGAGGTGTATTCTAGGTAGCTGTGGGAGTCAGTGGGCTTGAAATGGATATCGGTTTCTAGGTGGTTGCCCGAGATGGAGACAGAGAGGTCCAGGAAGGAGAGAGAGGTATTAGAGATGGTCCAGGTAAACTTAAGGTTGGGGTGGAAGGTGTTGGTGAAGTGGATGAACTGTTCGAGCTCCTCGTGGGAGCACGAGGTGGCGCCGATACAGTCATCAATGTAACGGAGGAAGAGGTGGGGTTTAGGGCCAGTGTAGCTTTGGAAGAGGGATTGTTCCACGTAACCTACAAAGAGGCAGGCGTAGCTTGGGCCCATGCGGGTACCCATGGCCACCCCCTTTGTCTGTAGGAAGTGGGAGGAATTGAAAGAGAAGTTGTTGAGGGTGAGGATGAGTTCGGCTAAGCCGATGAGGATGTCAGTGGAGGGGGACTGGTCGGGCCTGTGGAACAGGAAGAAGCAGAGGGCCTTTAGGCCATCTGTATGGGGAATGCAGGTGTATAGGGACTGTACGTCCATGGTAAAGATGAGGTGTTGGGGACCGGGGAATTGGAAGTTCTGGAGGAGGTGGAGGGCATGGGTGGTGTCACGGACATAGGTAGGGAGTTCCTGGACCAAGGGGGAGAAAATGGAGTCCAGATAGTTGGAGATAAGTTCGGTGGGGCAGGAGCAGGCGGAGACAATGGGTCGACCAGGGCATTCAGGTTTGTGGATTTTGGGAAGGACAATGTGGTATACTGCATCCGCTGTACCCGTTGTGGCCTCCTCTACATTGGGGAAACCAAGCAGAGGCTCGGGGACCGCCTTGCAGAACACCTACGCTCGGTTCGCAATAAACAACTGCACCTTCCAGTCGCAAACCATTTCAACTCCCCCTCCCATTCCTCAGATGACATGTCCATCCTGGCCCTCCTGCAGTGCCACAACGATGCCACCCGAAGGTTGCAGGAACAGCAACTCATATTCTGCTTGGGAACCCTGCAGCCCAATGGTATCAATGTGGATTTCACAAGCTTCAAAATCTCCCCTCCCCCTACCGCATCCCAAAACCAGTCCAGCTCGTCCCCGCCTCCCTAACCTGTCCTTCCTCCCACCTATCCCCTCCTCCCACCTCAAGCTGCATCCCCATCTCCTACCTACTAACCTCATCCCGCCCCCTTGACCTGTCCGTCCTCCCTGGACTGACCTATCCCCTCCCTAACTCCCCACCTACACTCACCTTTACTGGCTCCATCCCCGCCTCTTTGACCTGTCTGTTTCCTCTCCACCTATCCTCTCCTCTATCCATCTTCTATCCGCCTCCCCCTCTCTCCCTATTTATCTCTTTTAGCAAGTTGTTTTAGAAAATCCAAAGTACATTTTAATTTTTTAGTAAATGCTGCCCATCACTTATCGTTGTTTCTGAGTCAAAAACGGTACTGACTGTTGTGCAATGAGGACCATCACTTCTGATTTTTGATGGACAGAAGACCATTGGTGAAGCAATTAATGATTGTTGGGCCAAGGCAACTCCTCTGAGGGACTGCTGAAGAGATAACTAAGGTTTATGATAATTTTGTTTTTATTCATTTTCTGAATATGGATATTGCTGGCAGTTAGGAGTCAGCCAGTGGATCTGGAGTTATTAAAACAATTCAGTAGTTTCATGATAACGGTTAATTGACCTAGCATATTATTCCAGGTGTATTAATTGAATTTAAACTCAACCAGCTGCAATACTGAGATTGGACTCATGTCTCTGGAATATGAATTCAGCTAATAAGTTCTCTTCATTTTGGCACAAGTTCTCAGATACTAATAAGCAGTTTGCAGGGTCAGCCAGTTTGGGTGTGCTCTTGTCATTTCCAGTACCCAGGTTAATGTTAAATGGACCATCTAGTTTTATTATTATTCAACTTTTCTGTATGATTAATATAAATAAATGGCTTGCTTGACTGTTTCAGAGGTCTGTTAAGAGACAATCATGATGCTCTGGGTCTAGAGTCATGAGGCCAGACAAAGGGGTGCCAGTAGCTTTCCTCCCTGAAATGGTAATCGTGAAGTGAACTAGATGGGCTTTAACAACAGCAAAAACAAACTGCTCTGGGAATTAACCTTAGTTTTCTATAGCAACTAACATTCATTCTATGATATTATTACTGAGAATAACTGCACTTGACATCAAGGCTGCATTTGACTGATGAAATTAAGTAAATAGCTACTCAGGAAAAATTTGATACATCATCGAATTCCTGAGTAACTATTAAACTGGCCCCATACTTATCTTACACACCCCAACTACACCTTCACCATGCCAGTTACACACTCCCAGTCATCATTCCCCCTATAATTCTTTTTGCGACTGTGCAAACCTCCATAGTCCATTTGTGGCAGCAGTTTCTAGAATTGGAAACCATGCATTGTTATGCTGATCAGCAGGCATGGGGCTTCCCATCAGCTGCACATCTTACAGGAAACACTGTCCCCAAACTTTGACCTGACACTCCTTTTCCCACCATCAGACCCGAACTCACTCCCCCCTGCCAAACCTGAACCCCCATTCCCCGGCTGGTCCCAATTTCATTTATCCACTACCCACACTTCAAGATCTCAGTGGCTAACCTGAGTATGCCACTACCATTACAGACTTCATTTGTAAGTGTGTAGAAGATTGCGCACTGAAGAAGTTAATCTGAATGTTCCCAATTGGAAACCACGGATGAACCAGGAGATCCGCTCCCCGCTGAAGTCCAGGTCTGAGGCATACAAGTCGGACAACCCTGACCTATACAGGAAATCCAGGTACGACCTTTGTAAGGCCAGAGATGCCAAGCAGCAATACTAGACTATACTTGAGATCCAAACCAACCACATGGATACCCATCATCTGTGGCAAGGCTTACACGACACAATAGGCTACAAAGCAAAGTCGAACAGAATCACATGCAACAATACATCCCTACACAACAGCTCAATACATTCTACGCTCACTTCGAGCAGAAGATCAATGAAACCATGTCACATAAGCCAACAGCCTCAAATGCACCTGTACCCACGGCACCACTGCAGATGTTAATTTGGCCTTGACAGTGAACCCATGAAAAGCAACTGGCCAGATATGGTCACCTGCGGTGCACTCAGATCCTGGGCAGACCAGCTGGTGGGAGTATCTGCTGACATTTTTAACTTCTCCTTACTACGATCTGAAGTCCCCAACTTCTTCAATAAGACCACCATCATCTCAGCGCCAAAGATAAATCATACAGTATGCCTCAATGACTACTGCCCGGTGGCTCTGACTTCCATCATCAGGAAGTGCTTTGAGATGTTAATCATGGTTTGCATCAACTTCAGCCTACTAAATTGATTTGATCCTTTGCAATTTACCTACTAGCACAACAGGTCCATGACAGATGCTATCTCCCTGGCCCTACTCTTATCCCTGGAACATCTGGATAACAGGGATACACACGTTAGGCTCCTACTTACTGACTACAGTTCTGCCTTCAGCACCATAATTCGAAACAAACTTATCTCTAAACTCAGAGATCTAGGTCTCAGCAGCTCCTGTATTCTTGACTTCCTGACCCATAGATTGCAATCAATAAGAATGGGCAACAACACCCACAATCTTCAACACTGCGTACTCACCCCCCAGCTATACTCCTAATACAGTCACGACTGCGTGGCCAAATTCTGCCTCAACTCCATTTAAAAGTTTGCTGACCCCACTACTGTTGTAGGTCAGATCTCAAACAATGAATACACGGATTACAGGAATGAGAAAGAGTGCTTAGCAGCATGGTGTAAGGACAACAATCTCTCCATCAATGTCAGCAAACAAAGGTGCTGATCATTGATTTCAAGAAGCAGAGAGGAAGGCACACCCCTTCTGCATCAATTGCGCCGATGGGGAGATGGTGGGGAGCATCAAGTTCCTGGCAGTGATGATCACCAACAATCTGTCCTGGTTCACCCACGTCAATGCAATGGTCAAGAAAGCACAACAATGCATCAAAGCATGGTATGGTAACTGCTGTTCCCAACACCGCAAGAAACTACAGAGTTGTGAACACAGCGCAGTCCATCATGCAAACCAGCCTTCAATACACTGACTCCAACTATACTTCCCGCTGCCTCAAGAAAGTAACCAACATAATCAAAGATCCCTCCCACCACAGTTATACAGTCTTCCAAATGCTTCCATCGAGCAGAAGATATAAAAGTTTCAGTATACATATGAACAGATTCGAAAACAGCTTTTTTCCCCACTGTTATCAGGCTTTTGAATGGACCTCTCAAATGTTAATATTGATCTCTCTCTCTCTCTCTGCACCTTCTCTGCAGCTGTAACACTGTATTCTGTGCTCTGTCTGTTATCCTGATGCACTTTGTACAGTACAATCTGCCTGTATAGTATGTAAAACAACACTTTTCACTGTATCTCAGTACATGACAACAATAAATCAATTAGTCAGATCCAACCCTAAACATCACCTACCCTGGTACTGTTGCTACCTTCTCCCTTTTCCCAAATGGCACCCTTTCCCCTCTACCTCTGGCACATTATTTACCTATCCCTCTACTTACCGGGCTAGCTAACATCATACTTACTTTATGCACTTACCTTTTGACAGCAGCTATCAAAATGTTTGTCTAGACCTTTAAATTTCAGAACACAACAGCTAACTGCTGTGAAAAGCGCGCATGATCTGCCTTCCCCTGATAGTTCTGCACTACAAAAGGAAGTAATCAAGAAGTTTAGTTAGTTTTTAGTTTTCCTGCTTCAGTCCACATTTTTTGCCAATAACCTGTTATTTGATGTTCTTATATTTAATTCCTGAAACTTGATTAGTCACAAGAGTCATTACAACACTGTAGGCCATTTAGTTCATGATGGCACCCCATACAGTAAGTCAATCAGTCCTACTCCCCTGCTCCATCCAGTTAGCTCTGGAAGTATTTAAGTGTTGGTCAAATTTCCTTCTGAAATAATTTGTCATCTTTATTTCAATCACCCTTATAAATAGCAAGTTCCAGCTTACTACAACTCACAGCATGAAAAGGTTCTTTCTCACATTCCCCAGTACTGCTTGCCCAAAACCTTATTTCAGTCTCTCCTAGTCCTTGTATATCAGCTAAGGGAACAGCTTTTATTCTGCTGTTTTATCTAAAGCTGTGTTGCAGTCTTCTAGGTTGTAATTTCCCTACAACCTCTCTTTTGTTCCAAGAGAAACAATCTCAGCATCTCCAATCTAACACAGTATCTAAAATCCCTCAACTCTGGAACCATTCTCCTCTGCACCTTTTGAAGATCTTCATATCATTCCTAAAAAGTGTGACCATAACTATACACAATACTCTAGGTGGATCCACCCAGAGCTTTATAAGAAAAATACAGAATAAATTCCTCAGAAATAGCAAGAACTGCAGATGCTGGAGTTAGAGATAACACAGTGTGGAGCTGGAGAAACACTGCAGGCCAGGCAGCATCAGAGGAGCAGGAAAGTTGACAAGAGAGAGATTGTAGGGAAATCACAACCTAGAAGACTGCAACATAGCTTTAGATAAAACAGCAAAATAAAAGCTATTCCCTTAGCTGATATACAAGGACCAAGAGAGACTGGTCTCAGTTTTGGTCAACTTTCCTGCTCCTCTGATGTTCCCTGGCCTTCTGTGTTCCTCCAGCTCCACACTGTGTTATCCCAAAATAAATTCCTGTCCTTTGCTTCATAAATGAAGAAAAGATCATTTTGCCTTGTTAACTAATCTATCAATATGTCTGGACGCTATCAAAAATCTATGCACACAAATACCCAGGTCTTTTTGTGTCTAAACATCTTTTAGGACCATGTCATTCAGGCTATATTGCCTGTCCCTATCCCTTCCATCAAAATACACATCATGCTTCTCAGTGCTAAATTCCATTTGGCAATTTTCTGTCCATTCTGCTAACCTATCCATGTAACACTGCAGTTGATTGGTATTACCCTCAGTTTACCACGAGGTTTGGTATCTTCTCGATGTGACGTTGTGAGGTAACAGTAATGTAATTCAGAGTCCCAGAGAAGTGCTGTAGAATTCCATCACGACAGGTGGTCAAATTTAAATTTCACACAATAAATCTAGAAGGGATGGACAAGGAAAACTTCTGATAACCAAACAAGTACAGACAGTAGCAGAATGTACTATGTAAAGGAACCAGTGGCTCAGTAGCACCACTAATGTCTGATTTCTAAAGGCCATAACTGCTAGAATGGGTTTGTGGCTGGTAGTGATGGGAAATAATTTACTTTCACTCATCCTCACCAATCTATCCACCACAGATGCATCTATTCTTCACCTTGTTAGCAGGAATGACCATCACATAAATCCATGCGGATTAAGTCCCATCACACACACTCAATCGTGTTATGGTGAAGAGATCAAGCAATTCAAAGTGAGCTCCGTGAGCTGCTATGGCCCTTCAGCAGCAGAATTGCATTCCACCAGAACTGATAGCCTCATTGCTTGGCATATCCCTCACTTCATTTAACATCAAGCAAAGGATCAACCCTGGTTCAAAGAAGTATGCAGGAGGACATGCCAAGAGCAGCACCAGAAATTGCTGAAAACAAGGTAAACAAACACGGAAGGCTCGAGAAATTCAGGAAGTCTGACAGCATCTGTGCAGTGAAATAGGGTTAAAGTTTCATGTCTGGTATGGCTCTTCTTCAAAACCACAGGAATAGTTCTGCCCCACTCTGCTCTATATACACGAGATCTGGATGGTGTACCAGCGTTATAGTAAGATGCTCAACCACTTGCACCCAAATTGCAGTTGTGCTCTTCTGAAGATCACGTGCCAGGGCAGAATACTCAGCCACTGAGGTGCTCATCCTAGCTGGCATGTCAAGCATCTACACCTTATTGACGTAATCACAACTGAATCGGGCTGGTCATCTAGCCAGAATTCTTCACAGCTGCTCACCAAAGTGCAGCTTCTCTCCAGCAAACTCGTTCAAAACTCAAATGCCTGTGATTTCCTATCCTATCTGCAATAGAATCTTTTGGACCCAGGTCGGCTTCAGCAGTCACTTAATTTATCACTGGAATCCTACCAGTCATTCCAAAGGTGAAGACGGTTGACCCTTACATTAAATGTTCATTAAGAGATACCGCCTTCCTTACCAGTCCACAGGCCTTTCTTGATTTCCTTTTCACAGCCTAGCCGACAGACAAGAAGAACTACCTTCTTGACCCTACCTGCCTTGGAACCATAAAAGACACCTTGTATCGTGATTTTAATTTCTAATTATTTGTGGCCGTCGCTCCCCCACCCCACTTAGGGCTAGAGCTGAGACTCAGCGCAAAACTTCTCTTTTCTCATAATTGAGCAGTGGCTACGGTGTTTCGTCTAACTTCTTCCTCCACTACTGCGCAGGCGCACGGTGTTCTCTCTTCCGGTGGAGAGGGCAGCTTTTTTTTCAATCGCCAATGTGTCACAACAAAAAGATCCCCCCATTCCATCACTTCCGGTATGAGGATTTTCATTTTGGGGCGGGTTGTGGGGAAGACCGCTTGACTATTTTTTTAAAATAGCAATCCCGTAATTGGATGGATATGTTATTGTTGTTTTGTGAAATGGAAAGTACGATAATCAAACTGGAGAAGAGGGCTTTAATTTGGAAGTGAGTTGACGGAATCGTAAACGATTGGTCGGGGCGAGAGAAGTTGTTGAGGGTGCGCAGACGCAGATAGGGTGTCGGTGTCGAGGTGGCTGTTGGGATCGTTGCGCCCGCGCTGTCGCCATATTGTGGGTTCGGGTCTAAGGGTCTAACGGTCGGTGCGCGAGTGCTCGGAGAAGCGAGCGACAGCTGCAGGTGAGCTCCTTCCCCCCCCCCTCATCCCCGGAGACTTCCCCGGTCGCCAACGACCGGGCCTTATTCGTCGGAACCCTTGTAGCCATGGCGTTCTCAGTGGTAGGCCGTCCCCAAAATCCAGGACGCTCCACACCCTGTACTTCGGCCTTTAACTAGCGGGCCGCATTTGCCGTGGCTCCCCGTGCCGTGAGTATTCCCTGGACAACCCTCTGATTCCCCGAGTGTGTGGGGCGGCGGCGAAGGAGGAGACAGAGGTCCTCTTCCACGGTTTCCAAAGGTGAATCGCCACTTTGGGGCGGTAGAGACTGAAAGTAAAGGAAGAGATTTTTACTTGGTCCAAAGTAACCGTTTTTACTGTAATAAAAACTTGAACTGTCATGCTACAGTTCTGAGTTCTAATACTACTTTTGCTGGTCAGAGATTTTTGTACTGAGTTGTCGTTTTATGGCTGTATGAAATGTACAATGTCCTGCATCACCTGAAGATTGCTAGTTGCAGTAGACAAACTCTGGATATATTAGAGCATTCACATTTAAATTAGAACAATGTTCAAATTAGGTTATAACATTTGAAAGTTTGAGCACCTCTGTCAGGGATCGTAGGAGTGATACTTAGGGAGTTTGAGTAATGTGTGGTGTCCAAGGAACTGTGAATTTAGTGCAGGAAGTCAGAAAGTGGCAATGTCTTAAAGTCGTAGAGATATGTACAGCATGGAAACAGACCCTTCGGTCCAACTTGTAACTACCAATCAGATATCCTAAATTAATCTAGCCCCATTTACCAGCATTTGGCCCTTTTCCCTCTAAACCCTTTCTATTTGTGTACCCATCCAGATGGATTTTAAATATTGTAACTACCAGCTGCTTCCTCCACCCCTGCCAGCTCATTCCATACACATACCACCGTCTATGAAAAGGTTGCCCCTTCGGTCCCTTTTAAATCTTTCCCCTCTCACCTCCAGTTTTGGACTCCCCTACCTTGAGGAAAAAAACTTGTCCGTTCGCTTTATCCATCCCCCTCTCTAAGTTCACTCAGCCATCGATGCTTCAGAGAAAATAGTCTCAGCCTTTGCCTATAGCTCAAATCCTCCAATTCTGGCAACATCCTTGTAAATTTTTTCTGAAGCCTTTCAAGTTTCACAACATCTTTCCTATTGTGGGAAGACCAGAATTGAATGCAGTATTCCAAAGATGGCCTGACCAATGTCCTGCACAGCCACAACATGACTTCCTCCCAACTCCTATACTCGTGCACTGACCAATAAAGGCAGGCGTACTAAATGTCTTCTTCACTACCCTGTCATCCCCATCTCAAACATGTCTTCCTGAGGGTCTGGAAAGGAGTTACATAACACTGACGGTTAGAAAGTACAAAAATATTGGAGGAGTAGCATCCATTGTGTTTTAAAAGAGTAGGGCTCAGAAAATTGGGACCCACAATGATAACACTACAAACCCTGTGTCTCATCACACCTGCTGGTTTCTCCAACCTATCCCTGTAGTCAATTACTATACTTTCGCACCATTGTCTCTTTCCCCATTGCCAACTGCTTCCGGTCTTTTTATATATCTGACACTCTCGGAGAGGTTGTCCATAGCACATTGCAGGTGCCAAGAGTTGAAGATTTAATGGAACCTTGCTGAATTACTGACTCTTACCATTTTCCAGCTAGAATTCTGTTGACAGATTAATCTGTTTACTATATTTTCTATTTATTTCTAGATTGTTTGTTTATAAACTGAAATTTCTGTTCTAACAACCCATTCTCACACAACTGTTTTTAAGAGTTAAAAAATAATTCTGTTGGCTGGGGAACTGGTTGATGTTTCTAGTTTTTCTTAAACATCTGGAGCTTCAGTATGTAGGATATACCATTTGATCTAGTGATGGATAAATTAAGTTATACAAATTGCAAATAGCCAGAACACAAGAGTTGCTCAAACAGTCTCCAATTGTTTTAAAGTTAAATCATTTAATCAAAGTCTGTACTTTTAAGAGGGACTTAGACTAGGGAGGGAGAGAGAACAATAGTAATTGAATGTCCTAAAATAAAGGCACATTTTTCTGAAATACATAGCCTTGAATATTTAGTTTTAAAGGTTTACTGGAAATTACAAGCTCTGAAAAATTGGAATATTTTCAGCATTTCAAAAAAGTATGAATTAAAATTAGATGTCATATCTCAAAATATACTGTCATAGATTTTTTTAAAGTGTGATTGCCTTTGTATTTAAGGTGAAAATCTATCCGTTATGGTGCTTTTACAGCTGTAAGGTTTATTTGATCATATTGGGAATGTTTAAATACAGGCATGGCAAGCCCAGTAAAAGATAACTACAGGATGAGAAGCTACAAGAACAAAGCATTAAACACTCAGGAAATGCGAAGACGACGAGAGGAAGAAGGTATCCAGTTACGGAAACAGAAAAGGGAAGAGCAGGTGTGTATGTGATAATAGGTCTGTAAAAGCTTTTTGATAAGTAGACTTGGTTCATGCCTTCATTTGATTACTTTTTTTCTGCTCGTGTTCCAGTTGTTCAAGCGCAGGAATGTGGCAGTTCCCGGAAGTGATGAAGCCATGTTTGAAAGCCCCATTCAAGACCCTGATATAAGCTCTACTGTAGTATCTTTACCTGGCGTAAGTAGAAAGAGCAAGAATGTTTTTGTCTATGTTGAACAGAATTTCTAAACACTGAAGTGTCCATTCTTAAATGTCTTCAATTGTAGGAAGGTGTAATCACAGTAGAAATGGTACAGATGATCTTTTCAGAAGATCCTGATCAGCAACTCGCAGCCACACAGAAGTTTCGGAAACTGTTGTCAAAAGGTGAGAACCTTGTGCTGAATGCAGTGCTGTAGAGAGTTGTTACTGTTGATAAGAACCAAGTCTTTCAGTGCGAGGAAGAGGCAGCACCTGCCAGTAGTTTGGAGGGAAGGGAAGGAGAGAAGGAGCAGGAGCAGGAGCCTGCCAAGAGTGGTGATAGGGGAGTAGGAAGGGTGGACTGCCAGAACAAGGCAATAAGGATTTGTTTTGCACATGGTCTTGAGACAATTTAAATGCAGTGCTGCCTGGGAAATCGACGCTTTCCTTTGAAATGTGGTTTTAAGTTTAATGGAAGGTTGATCATTATTGAGGATATTGATTAATTATAATATTGCATCTGTGCAAGTCCAAATACGGTCAGCCCCCAGGTTACGAACAGGTTCCATTCCTGAATATGTTCATAAGTCGATTTGTGTACGAGCCGGAACACAATTCAGTACAGTATAAAATAGCTGTTTGTAAGTACAAGAAACGTTCGCATGTCTAATCTTTAAAATTAATATTCTTATGGAATCTCACTTGTAAGTATGTGTGTTTATAAGGGAGACATACATAAATCAGGGATTGCCTGTACCCATAGGTCAATACAAATACAGAAGATGTTGTAACTACATGATTAGGCTAACATGAGTTGGTAAGAAGCGAAAAATAGACCCAAAATTGAATCGCAGTTTCTGAGAAAATCACGGAGCTGGAATGAGAGGATGGGCTTACTTTTACCATTTCTATCATATGTACTCTAATCATCAAGAGTAGGTGGACACTTAATTACTGGACCGATAAAAGTATGTACAACTCCTGCATCCTTTGTTTAAGTCTGGGTTTCTACGATATTCTCTCTCATTGTTGCAATTGTTTTCCTGTTCTATTTTACCAGGGATCTCTAGTTTTGGATGAATGGTCTTTTTTTTCCATAATGGGAAATCTTGTGAAATTTAGTGCCATTTTTCTCTATTTTAAGTAAGTGTTAAGTAAATAGGAACAAATGCATATTTCACAACAATTAGATTTTTTAAAATTCATTTGTGGGGATGTGGGCATCACTAGCTGACCAGCACTTATTGCCTGTCTCTAGTTTCTCTTGAGAAGTTGGGGATGAGTTACCTTCTTGAACCGCCACAGTCCACCTGCAGTGGGTTGACCCACAATGCCATTATGGGGAGAATTCCAGGATTTTGACCTAGTGTCCGTGAAGGAACGGCGCTATATTTCCAAGTCGGGATGGCGAGTGGCTTGGAGGGGATATTGCAAATGGTGTTCCCATGTATCTGCGGCCCTTGTCCTTCTCGATGGACGTGGTTGTGGGTTTGGAAGGTGCTGTCTGAGGATCTTTGGCAAATTTCTGCAGTGCACCTTGCAGATAGTACACACTGCTGCTACTAAGTGTCGGTGGTGGATGGAGTGGATGCTTGTGGATGTGTTGCCAATCAAGCGTGCTGCTTCGTCCTCGATGTTCTCAAGCTTCTTGAGTGCTGTTGGGTATGCATCCGTCCAGGCAAGTGGGGAGTGTTCCATCACGCTTCTGACTTGTGCCTTGTAGATGGTGGACACTTTCTGGCGAGTCAGGAAGTGAGTTAATTGCTGCAATATTCCTAGCCTCTGACCTGCTGTTGTAGCCACTGTTTATGTGGCAAGTCCAGTTGAGTTGCTGGTCAATGGTAACCTCCAGGACATTGATAGTGGGGGATTCAGTGATGGTAATACCATTGAGTGTCAAGGAGCGGTAGTTAGTCTCTTATTGGTGATGGTCATAGCCTGATATTTATGTGGCATGAATGTTACTTATCACTTGTCAGCCCAAGCCTAGATATTGTCCAGATCTTGTTGCATTTGAACATGGATTGCATTAGAATCTGAGGAGTTGTGAATGGTGCCGAACATTGTGCAATCATTGGCGAACATCCCTACTTCTCCCCTTATGATTAAGTGAAGGTCTTTGAAGCAGCTCAAGATGGCTAGTACCTTGAGGAACTTCTGCTGAGATGTCTTGGAACTGAGGTGACTGACCTCAAAGACCGTAACCATCTTCCTATCTGCCAGGCATGACTCAGCGGAGAGTTTGCCCTTGATACCCATTGTTTCCAGTTTTGCTAGGGCGCCTTGATGTCACACTCGGTTGAATATGTCCTTAATGTTAAGGGCTATCATCCTCACCTCACCTCTGCAATTAACTTCTTTTTGTCCATGTTTGAATCGAGGTTGTAATGAAGTCAGGAGCTGAGTCGCCCTGCCAGAGCCCGCCTGGGTGTCACTGAGCAAGTGCTGCTTGATAGCACTGTTGAAGACACGTTCCATCATTTTACTGATGACTGAGGGTATACTGATGGAGCTATAACTGGCTGGGTTGGATTTGCCCTGCTTCTTACATACTGGACATACCTGGTCCATTTCCCACATTTTTGGGCAGATGCCATTGTTGTGACCGCACTGGAACAGCTTGACTAGAGGAGCAGCAAGTTCTGGAGCACAAGTCTTCAGTACTATTGCTCGAATGTTGTCAGGACCCACAGTCTTTGCAGTTTCTAATGCCTCCAAGTGTTTCTTGATATCACATGAAGTGAATTGAATTGGCTGAAGACTGGTAGCTGTGATACTGGGGACCCTGGAGGAGGGAGAGATAAACTTGGCACTTCTAGCTGAAGATTGCTGCGAATTCTTTAGCCGTATCATTTGCACTGATGTGCAGAGATCCTCCTACATAGAGGATTTGGCAGTTGAATTTGTCCAGCATCTTCATTACATTTTGTTTTACATGCTTGACTCTGCCTGTGTCAAAGTTTGAGCTGAACATTTAAACCCCCACAGAACGGTCAATTCAATCACTACTACTTAATGAACACATGCAGTTCACAAATTTTCCAAGATTGTAACCTATATCAATGACAGCGAGGAAGAAATCAGTTTCCTATCCTATGAATATTATGGAGTTGATTTGTTTGTTTCAAAAAGACTTTGTAATATGTTCATTCTTGTTAACCCTTCCTATGAATGTAATGGGTATCTACAGTATTCAGTATCAGTCAAGTCCACACTTAGGTACAAATTGTTGCGCTGAACCTAGGCACAAGAATACATGTGGCAGAGCTTCTGAAGTTAATGAAACAAAGTAACTATTTTTAGTTCTCCAGTAGATTGTGTTGAATTTATCCTTCCTTGAATCTATTTAATCCTAATCTTAGCAATGAATCAGGTGTGCTGGTAGGCTTCAGATTTTTAAGAGACATTTCATTATCTCCTAATGTAAATCATTCAATGTTGTTGTCTCAGCATTCAAAATGGCCACTAAGACTTTTTAATGATTCAAAAACTTCAGTAATTAGGATAATCCCTAGTTCTCTAGGTGATGGTTCAGCTTTTGTTGTCTGCTGAATAGCTTACTATCATGCTGATCCATTGGAGAAGAGAGAGTTCCCTCGACTCTCAACCCTCAAATCATGCTGATCTGACCAATGTCAGAGTTTTTGTGATTTAAAGGAGTGATGAAAGAGTCTGAAATTCTGTCCCACAATGCTAAATTAAATGGATATTTCGAGTTTAAAAAAAAAATTATTGTGCCAGAACAGCAGATTATTATGGAGGCAAATGAAATGTTTATTGTAAGTGGAATGAAATAAAGGTTTGTTACAGTTGTATATGGCATTGTTGAGAATAAATCTGGAGCAACATGTACACTTTTGGTCTCCTTTCCTAAAGAAAGGACAGTTGCATTCGAAACTTCAGGCAAGGTTTTGTTGACTGGTTCTTGAGATGAAGAAATTTTCTAATTAGTAAAAGTTGTTCAGTTTTAGTCTGTATCCATTGACGTTCAGCAGAGTGACAAGTGATCTGATTGAAACATATAGGTTGCTGAGGGAACGTGATGTGTTGGATGCTGATTCCCTTTGAGAGAAATTACAATGAATGCAAATAGTTTTAAATAAGGGATCATTCATTTAAGACGGATGATGAAAAGATTTGAGGGTTGAGAGTCAATGGATCCGGGGTCACTGAATATTTTTAAGCAGAGGTAATGACTTCCTTGCTAGTCGATTATTTATGAGTATTAGGGTTAAACAGGAGTTGAGACCACAGTCGGATCAGCCATAATCTAAATGAATAGCGTAGCAAGCACAGGACAGAATGGTCTTTTAATTTATATGTTCATATGTATGTAAAGATTGAGTTCCATTTCCTACAAGTAAATAAGTAGCATGTCTTACTGAAATATTTGATTTTTATTTTAATCACATTCTGAGTATCATAGAACAGGATAATAGGAATTATGGAAAAATGGTATCCTGGATTTCACTTATAAATATTCCTTTCAGAACCTAATCCTCCAATAGATGAAGTCATAAATACACCTGGTATTGTGCCAAGATTTGTGGAGTTTTTGAAGAGGAATGAGAATTTTACCCTCCAAGTGAGTTTTTTTAATGAGTTTGTTTTGGTAATGAATCTCAGAACATTACACAATATAAGTAACAGTATGTCCTTCCGAGTAATACATTTGTTATTTTACAACAGACATGTATTTAACATGCCATGCTGGAAAATGCAGAATAGTTCCAATCTTCAGAGTAGCTACTCATGACATGTAAAGCAAACTTGTCCTCCAGCACACCTTCAACTATATGTTGAGTATTCTAATCACTTTAACCTCCTGTTATAGAATCATAGAATCCGTACAGTGTGGGAACAGGCCCTTTGGCCCAACAAGTCCAGACCGACCCTCAGAGCATCCCACCCAGACCCATCCCCCTATAACCCACCTAAGCTGTGAACACTATGGGCAATTTAGCATGGCCAATCCACCTAACCTGCATATCTTTGGACTGTGGGAGGAAACCCACGCAGACACGGGGAGACTCCTAATTTTGCATTCTAGCAGATACCTGAAGAAATCTAGTGGCCAGAACTGGATAAAGTTTATGTAGTCTAATATGTTATACAAATTCAACGTTGTTTTCTTGGTAATTTTTATTGGCTTTGTGTAAACCTGAGAATCTCATTTAATTTAATGACCACTTCCATCAGCTTTTATAGAAATCATAGAATCTCTACAGTGTGGAAGCAAGCCATTCAGTCCATTGAGTCCACACTGCCCCTGCAAAGAGCATTCCACCCAGATCCCCCACTCCCAACTAAGTAAAAATCAGTCTGTCTCAGCCTTGAATTTACATTATGACCTGACACCAACAGCTCACTGTGGTAAAGAATGCCACAGATCTATAATCGTGTGAGTGGAAAAATTTCTCAACTGTCGTAAATGTGAGATATGCCCTCTGGTCCTAGATTTTTCTGCTTCAAAAGATCTTGGCTAATGTGCTTGTGTTCTGACATTCCCATATACCCTGATAACCTTAGATTCACGTTAAGGGAATCCATCTACCTTACAGTCACCCAACAAATATTCATTGACCCTACCTCCACTGCCTTCTGAGGGAGAGGATTCCAAAGTTGCACATACTAAGAAAAAAAATCTCCATTCTGCCACAAAAGGTGACCCTGATGTTAAACATGTCCCCCAGTTTTGGACTCCCCCTTTTCTCTTCCACCTTATCAAGACCATTCAGGATCTTTACAGTTCAATCAGGTCGCCACTCTCTTCTAAACTTCAGTGGAGACATGTCTAATGCTGGTCATTCCAGGTATTACTCGAGTAAACCACTTCTGAGCTACCTTCAACACATTTACACCCTTCCGTAAGTAGGGAGGCCAAAAGCGTGCAAAGTGTTCAAGTGGCCTCGCAATGCTTTGCATAATCTGATGTGAAAACATGCATTTTTTTTTTTTATTCTGGATCTAATGAAAAACACTTCCTTCAAATGTTGTGTTGCACTTATGCCTGAATTCTTCTTTCTGGCTCATTTTCAAATTTATTTTGTGAATCAACCCAAAGTAAGTTTTACAGTTTTACATTTTTACAACTTCAACCTCCAACCTCCATAAACAGTTAAGAATTGTATTATTTTAATACACTAGATTCATTTTATAGAATCAGAAATGCCATACAATTTACAATGTGAACTTGCAGTAATTTATTAATAATTAGAATAAAATTTTTGTGTCCACTGAGCTTTAAAAATACATGTGAAAGAACAGAAAACAAAAACAGTACGTTTTTAATACTTTAATAGTGATGATCAATTTCTGTACTTTAATTCTGCAGTTTGAGGCTGCATGGGCTTTAACCAACATTGCTTCTGGAACATTTCTCCATACTAAAGTGGTTATAGAAGCTGACGCTGTTCCTATTTTCATTGAGTTACTTAGCTCGGAATACGAGGATGTGCAAGAACAGGTATTCCTTTGTTATATATGTGGTCATTTAATTCCTGTGTTTTTATATTGAGTCATTATCTTGCACAGTTAACTGGTTTTGATCCTTGCAATATAGAAAATATAAGCAAAAATTGTACATCTATTTTAAAATATTTTTGTCACAACGTGAAGGCTTCAATTAATATATCAAGTGGAGATTGCAAAACGTGGAGGAGCAAGTTACTGTAGATACTGAATCCATGGAGAGAAAGCAAGCTAACATTTCGAGTCTAGATGAGCCTTGCAGCATTTATGCTGTAGTTGTTGAGGGTGGTGGGTTTAGACTGCTGGTTGTGAAAAGATGTTAATAGTTCAGATTAAGTGATCAGAATGTGAGGATGTCACAGTTGTGCCTACCTGCCAGACTGGAAAGAACAGACAGTCCCACTGGGACTGGGGGAGGAGATAGAGGATATGATGACAGAATGTAACAAATAAAGCTGAAAGAAAGGGAAGGAATGAGAGAAAATTTGCAATTTGATGGTGTTGAACTCCAATATGAAGTCCAGAAGGCTGTAAAGTGCCTAGTCTGAAGATGAGATGTTGTTCCTCCAGTTTGCAGTGTGATTCACTGGAACATTGAAGCATGCTGAGGACAGACAGATGGACATGCACGCAGGACACTGTGTTAAAATAACGCGACGGGAAGGTCGGGGTCTTGACCATAGACTGAGGTGTTCTGCAAAGCAGTCACCCAGTCTGTGTTTGGTTTCTCCAATGTAGATTAGGCCACATTGGGTGCAGGGAATACAATGCACAAGATTGGAGAAAGTACAGGTGAAATGCTGCTTCACCTGGAAAGACTGTTTAGGCCCTTGGGTGGTGAGCATGGAGGAGGTGAAGGGGCAGGTGTTGCACCTTCTGTGGGTTACATGGGAGGGTGCCATGGGGAGGTGGGGTGGTGTTTGTAGTTGTGGAATGGAGCAGGGCCTCCCAGTGGGAGTGATCCTTGCGAAATGCAGACTGGAAGATGTGTTTGGTGGTGGTCTGCTAGACTTGTCTGAAATGGCAAAGAATAATCCTTTGAATGTGGGGATGAAAAGTGACGATGGGGTGTGGGCGTGGGTGGTGGTGGTGCCTAGATCCGTGTTTTTAAAAGGTACTGAAAAGACACTGGGACACTTTAAAGACACTTACTGGAAGTCTCATAATATAGGAATGGAAGAAATAGGAATAGGTGCAGGTCATTCAGCCTGTCAAGCCTGCACCATTCAATGTGATCAGGCTCAGTACCCTGTCCCTGCTTTCTCACCATACCCTTTAGCCCGAGAAACTGTCTAAATGCTTCTTGAAAACGCTGAATGTTTTGCTCTCAACAGTTTTCTGGGGGCACAGAATTCCACAGGCCAACCATACTGTAGGTAAAGAAATTTCTTCTCCGTCCTAAATGGCCCTGGTTCTGGACTCCTTTATCATTGGTTACATCCTTTTTTAATAGATTTCTGAAATCCCTCTGCATTCTTTCAAACTCCAGTGAATACTGTCCGAACCAATTCAATCTCTCTCTTCATAAGAGTTCTACTTTGCCAGGAATCAGTTTAGTAAATCTATGTTGTATTCCCTCCATAGACAATTCCTCAGGTAAAGAGACCAAAAATGCTTACAATATTCCAAGTGTGGTCTTACCAAGACTTCTACAATTGCAGTAAGACATTCCTGCTTCCGTACGCAAATCTTCTCGTTATAATGCCCAACGTCCTATTAGCCACCTTTTACATCTGCATGTTTACTTTCACTGGTGTACGAGAATGCCCAGGTCTTGTTGCACCTCTCTCTTTCACAATCTTTTGCCGTTCAGTTAATCTGCCTTTCTGTTTTTACTGCCAAAGTGGATAACCTCACATGTATGCATGTTGTCATGCATCTGCCGTGCATTTACCCAGTCACTAAACTTGTCCAAATCACACTGGAACATAGATTCATGCTGCACAGAAAAGGACCTTTGGCCAGTCGAGCCTGTGCTGACCTTGCTATACCAATCCCACTTTCTAGCACTTGCCCCATACCCTTGAATTTTGTGATGTTTTAGATGTCATTCACATACTTTTCACAGATTCTGAGGTTTCCCACTTTTACTGACCTCCCAGGCAGTACATTCCAAATTCTCACCACCTCTGGGTGAAAACATTTTTCTCCTCAACCACCTACCCTTTACCTTAAAATGATGCTTCCACATTATTGTTCCTTCAACCAATGGGAACATCTGCTTTCTATTCACTGTGTCCATGCCCCTCATAATCTTATACAGCTCAATCGGGACCACCTTAGCCTTCTCTGCTCTAAGAAAACAAACCAAGCCTATCAGTTTCTCTTCATAACTAAAATGCTCCAATGTAGATAACATCTTGGTGAATCTCCTTTGCAACCCTTAAGTACAATTCTGTCCTTCCTATAGTGAGGCAACTGTACACAATTGTGGCCTAACCAAAGTGTTTTTTTGCACATGTCCAGTATAACTTCCCTGCTCAAATAATTGTGCCACAACTGATCAAGACAAGTGTCCTGCATGCTGCCTTAACCTGCCCTCCCTGAAATTAACGTGTCCTGCTTTTAACAATTTGCGGACAGGCACTCCCAAGATCCCTCTGTTCCTTTGAGGATTCTAGTGCCCTGCAATTCATTGAGTCTTCCCTTGTCTCATCTCTTCTTCCAAAGTACATCACTTCACACTTTTAAAGATTAAATTCCATCTGCCACTGATCTGCCTATATTACCAATCTGTCTATCTTTCTGTAACTTAAGACCTTCCTCCTCACTGTCAATTATCTGACCAGTCTTTGGGTTATCTGCAACTTACAGATGAGAACATGATGGGATATGTATCATTTCTACATATCAAGAACAGTGAGGGACCTGCCTGTCACTTTTCTTATTTCCCATTCTGTCTTGTTTTCTTCCCCTTGTCTCCCCTTTCTTGAGTTTCTGTTTTAGATTCCCATTTTCCCTGCCATTTACAGTTTAAACCCTCCCCAACTGCAGTAGCAAATACTCCCCTAAGCAGCGCCATCCATTAGCTTGTAGTGCTCCCCCTCTCCTCACTGATCCCAATGTTGCAGGAATCTGAAATCTTCCCATTTACAGCATCTCTCCAGCAATGGATTCATCTGACAGATCCTATTGTTTCTACTTTGACTAGCGGGGGTCACTAGTAACAATCCTGAAATTATGACTTAGCTCCTACTTTGTAACTTGCTTCCTAACTCCCCATATTCTGCTTTTAGGACCTCATCTGTTTACCCATGTCATTGATATAGATGTGTATCGTGCCCACTCCAAAATGTCATGGAGCTGCTCCAAGACATCCTCGATCTGAGCACCCAGGAGGCCGCGTACCATCCTAGAGTCTCATTTACAGCCACAGAAAAGTCTGACTATTCCCCTTACAATTAAATTTCCTATTACAATAGCATGTTCACACTTATTCCTTCTCCCTTCCAGCAGAGCCAACCATATATTGCAACAAATTTGGCTATTGTTACTTTGCCAAGAAGCTAACTGCTTCCACCTCACCACCCCACCCACACCCAAAACAAAGCAACAAAACAGTATAAATGTTTGCAAGGGAATGATCACAGCAAACCTCTGCATATGTTGCCTAATCCTCTTTCTCTCCTTAATGTTCATCCATTCCTCTTGTGCCAGTGGAGTGCCCACCTCTTCTGTACAGGCTATCCATGTTGCTCTCAAACTGTTTGAAGTTCTGGAGGCCCCCATCTTTCTGAGAGAGCGTCTTCAGGTTCTTGTGCAAGAGCTGGAAAACCAAAATGGATATTCTCCCTGAAAGGCTTCAAAAAGACTTTCTCTCAATATCTGCTGAACAAAGTGTCAAAGGAATCCTAGGGACAGCCCCACATATTTATTGGCTCCCATCTAGATGTGTGATGATGCAAGGCTAAAAGCCATCTGAATATTTCATTATTGTAGCTTTGTGTTCTTAGAATTAGTAGGTATTTTTGGCCAGAGTCTTTTTTTCTTTTTCAAAGTTGATTTCTGCAGAGAGATTCTCCTTTTCTCTTTATTAACTGATGTTTGTGGGGTTCGGGTTATATAAAAGCGTAACAACATATTTCCAACTGCTGTTAATCAGCTTTGCGTCTTTGTCAAATAAATCTTCACTTTATAATGTTGTGACCATTGGAGTAGCATGATTAGACAGTACATTCCTCTGACCTTGGTCATAATAAAACACAAATAGCTTTTGTAACATGAAGCATTCTAAGCATTATATAATTTTAAGCATGCATACCATTCAATTGTTTTAATTATTGTAATGTCTTCCAGGCAGTCTGGGCACTGGGCAACATTGCAGGTGACAATGCTGAATGCAGAGATTTTGTGTTAAGTTGTGGAATTCTTCCGCCTCTCTTACAGTAAGTTTCTCGCAGCAGACCAACAAAATAATATAAACAAGTTTGTTTTGCTTTCGGTACACAGGGCAAGGCTTATTGCTAGTTGACCTTACACCTGAGTGGCTGCAGGCTTGGTGGTGATGGTGATCCTGCAATAATGTTAAGTAGAGAATTTCAAGTGATCAACCTGTGATGCCAGAATTCAGATTTTTAATTCAGTATGCCAGTATTTGGATGGATAGTTAGAAATTACGGTTTTCTGAGCAGATTGCTGTTCTTGTCCCTTTGGGTAGTAGAGGTGGGAGAGATGTGTTATTAAAGAATGTTGAGCATCCTATAGATAGTATCTTCTAAAGCAGTCCCCAGTTTTGATGACTTTTTCCCACGTGAATTTATTGAGTTCTAAAATTAGCAAATGCGCAATCAGCAGGCTCTGCCTTGCGCGGAGTCTGTAGTGCTTGAAAGTTTGCGTAGATAGGTTGTTCATTGGTTTGTTTGCTGCAGCACCTCAACTTTGCTTCTACATGTTCCCAATGAAGTTTCTCTGCGTGCAGTACTTTCCCAAATAAGCCGCCTTCATTTTGGTTTGTCATAAATTTAGTCCTCCCATGAGTTGTTTGGTATGTTTGATCTCTTCAGCAATGGTTTGAGGACATAACTGAACCATATCTGCTGTCCTTCTGGGAGACTCGATGTATTGGTTTTACCAAGCAAAAGTAATGGAGTGAGTGGACAGTGAGGCAAATGATAAGTCTACCGTTAAAACAAATAGCCATGTCATGCCTAGGGTCAGATGTTTGGAATTTTGCAGCCGCACCAGTCCAAATCAAAGTTGCATTTCTTATTTTACCCTGTGGATATATTTGAGGGGTCAGCTAATAACCATCCAGGTGTCACATTTGTACAGGAAAATGAGTTAATGTTAGAATGGGAATAAGCATCTCTTTAATCGTCTATTAGTTTTTATTTCAGTCTCACCAGAGCTACTTCAGTCACCATGTACTGTCAACAGTGGAGCCTTCCAGTTAGATGTTTAGAACACCCCTCAATATCTCTTTCAAAGGCAGTGAGCTTGCTTATTAAAACTATATGATCATGACTCTAGGAAAAAGGTTGCACTTCAAATGCGTTTTACCCTAAGGACGTTACAGAAGTGGCATTCAAGATGAGTGAATGGAAAACCTGTCTGGATATGTCATGTTAGGATTTGGAGATCAATCTGATTGCTCATTTGCCAAAAAGTTCAATTGCTGATGATCAACCTTCATCTCTTCAAGGGAAAGAAAATAAAAATGAAGAAACATTCTATGACCCATTGATTTTCGTAGATGCACGTAGAGCATTACCATTTTATGCCAGTGTGAGCGTGGAATGTTAAAAATCATTTGATCCACCAAACCATTTGAAACGTACCTTTTCCGGCACTGTACCCAACCTATTTATTGTGAAGGGAAATTCTGCACTTTTAATCTTTCTCCCTCCTGCACCTTCTCAGCAGCTATAACATTGTATTGTACAGTTTGTTCTGTTACCCTGATGCATCTGTATAGTGCGAAATGCCTGTAAAGCACACAAGACAACACTTTTCAATGCACCTTGGTACACATGACAGTAATAAATCAAATCCTGTTGAGGGGACACAGGTTCAAGGTTACTGATATCTGGAAGTTTAGTGGAGCACTAAACAAACCATAATTCATCAGCTGATTTGTGACAGACATCAAGTAGCTTAAGTGTTGAAGCTGCACCTGTCCAAACACAGGTCATATTCCTGTCTTAAGCCTTGAGGGGATCAGGAAAAGAGCCTATTATAATACATGTATTCTTGGTATGAGGAAATTAGATAAGAATAGTTAACATAGTGAGGAGTGACCACTGGCACAGCTGCCCACGTTAACTTATCTTTGATTCTTCTCGAGTCTCAAGTTCCTGATATGATGTCAAGAGAAGTGATTCCTTGATGTTTGATTGTTTCCCAGATTGCATAGTGAAGGTAAATGAGTTGAATGTTTTTCCTATCCACATTTGCCTTGTGATCTGTAAGCCTCAGTTCTTGAGTATAATATATTTACTGTAAGTGGTAGCTTGTTTGGGGGGGGGGGAGAAGCCAATGGGTAAGTATTACCTCACAGATTAACAAAAGTAGGCACTGGAGCATTTTATGTTTTGCACAGTAGTTGGGGTGCAAGCTGGCAAGGAAAGTTAAGGATCAGTGCTACCCACTTGGTACACACTTCTAATGAAGCATACAGAGAGGCCTTTGTGTTCTGCAGGACTTCTTTATGTGCACAATAAATATAAGGTGTTTTGAGACATATCACAGCTAAAGATACTTTGTTTTCTCCGAGTTGGCTTGAAACCATGGGACCTCATCCCAATAGTGTGTACATTTGTCTGCGCACAGACTGAAAGAATGAAGTTACTGTTATTGCAGCAAATAATGTAATATTTTAGTTTAAAAATCAAAGTGTAAGACAATGGTTCTGAAAGCTTCTCCGTTGTTATTAGGTCTTGCTGACTAAATCAGTTTGGTATGTTGATAATTGTTAAAGCTACGACTTGGTAGTTCAGGTTATAAAATATTGACTCTTCTCAAAATGTTTTCTTTTAATGCAGACTTTTATTTTAAAACTCTAGGTTATTAACCAAGTCAAACCGTCTTACTACAACAAGGAATGCCGTATGGGCTTTGTCCAACCTATGCAGGGGAAAGAATCCACCCCCAGATTTTGAAAAGGTATAGCTTAAGCCGATGTTATCTTTTTTTAAACATTGTTGTAGAGAGATGTACACCACGGAAGCAAACCCTTCGGTCCAACTTATTCATGCTGACCAGACATCCTAAATTAATTTAGGCCCACTTGCCAACATTTGGCCCATATCCCTTTAAACCCTTCCTTTTCACATACCCATCCAGATGTCTTTTAAATGTTGTAATTGTACCCACCTCCACCACCTCCCCCGACAGCTTGTTCCATACATGAAAAAGTTGCCCCCCGGGTCCCTTTCAAATCTTTCGCCTTTCACTTTAAACCCATGCCCTCTAGTTTTGGACTCCCTTACCCTGGTGGGAAAAAGAAAACCTTGGTTATTCACCCTACCCATGCCCCTCATGATTTTGTAAGCCTCTATAAAGTCACCCCTCAACCTCTGACGCTCCGGGGAAAATAGCTCCAGCCTATTTAACCTCTCCATATAACTCAAACCCTCCCGTCTTGGCAACATCCGAGTAAATCTTTTCTGAACCCTTTCAAGTTTAACAACACCATTCCTATAGCAGGAGGCCAGAACTAAAAGCAGTATTCCAAAAGTGGCCTAACCAATGTCCTGTACGACTGTGACATGACCTTAAAATGAGGTTGTTGACCTGCCTCGCCAGGCTGGCTTGTTTTTGTTCAGACATTTCATCACCATGCTAGGTAACATCAGTGAGGCCTCCGATGGAGCTTCGTCGGAGGCCTCACTGGAAATGTCTGACCGAAAACAAGCCAGCTTGGTGAGCAAGTCAACAAGCTCACCCACAACCCAAGCGGCAAATCTTTGCTAAAACCTTAAATGACCTTTTAAAATACTGCGGCGAGTAACTCACCTCCTGACTCCTCCATAGCCTGTCCACCATCTACAAGGCATAAGCTAAGAGTGTGATGGAATACTCCCCACTTGCCTGGATGAGCGCAGCCCCAACAACACTTAAGAAGCTCGACACTATCCAGGACACACCAGTCCACTTGATTGACACTACATCCACTCCCTCCCCCATCGACGCTCGGTAGCAGCTGTGTGTGCTATCTACAAGATGCATTCCAGAAATTCACCAAAGATGCTCAGACAGCACCTTCCAAACCCACAACCACTTCTGTCTAGAAGGACAAGGGCAGCTGATACATGGGAACACCACCACCTGGAAAAAGCCCCTCACCATCCTGACTTGGAAATATATCGCCATTCCTTTACTGTCGCTGGGTCAAAATCCTGGAATTCCCTCCCTAATGGTATTGTGAGTCAACCCACTGCAGGTGGACTGCAACAGTTCAAGAAGGCAACTCACCACCACCTTCTCAAGGGCAACTGGGGATGGGTAGGAAATGCTGGCCAGCCAGCGACGCTTGCTTCCCATTCCATAAATGAATAGGCAGAAAAAGAAACATTGCGTATTCCTAAAAGTTGAATGTTGCCATTGATGTTAAACTAAATGAAACTTCTTTAACTTTTACATTTTCTGCAAACTATCTCAATTGAATTTTCTATAGATATTTGTATTCTCAGGAACCCACCATCCATTCTGGAGTTGAGACTCTTAACTTTCAAATTGGTCAAAATAATCTTAATTTGTATTTAGTGGTACCCTTCCAACAATGTTGGACATTAGCAAAACTACTGTTATACAGTGACTTAAATCAATAATAACTTATGACCTTGTATTGCACTATTTTAGGTGTCACCTTGTTTGAATGTATTGTCAAGACTATTATTTAGCAGTGATCCTGATGTCTTGGCTGATGCTTGCTGGGCCCTTTCATACCTTTCCGATGGACCCAATGAGAAAATACAAATAGTTATTGATTCTGGTGTTTGTAGGCGATTAGTGGAGCTTTTGATGTAAGTATATTGGCATTTTCTTTACTGATCTTTAATCAGTTTGCTAAACTCCTGTGAAATCTGTTCTTTTTCTTTTTCAAAACCATTTTTATTTAAACTGATTTATTGTCAGAATTGTGGAATGTAATGTTTTATCATCAAAAATTAAATGCCATATAACTTGACTAAAGTTATCTTCTGTTTATGTTTGACGGACTTTTCAAAATATTTTGTAGGCATTTTCATCTTGAGTGAGTGATTGACAAGTTGTTAATTTGTCCTGTATTTCTTCAATAGGCACAATGATTATAAGGTTGTATCACCTGCACTGAGAGCTGTAGGCAATATAGTTACTGGAGATGACATCCAGACACAGGTAATTCTTCTCAAGATCTAGTGTGATATTTCTTTTTGGAATTGATGAAGTTCCATGGAGTTTTGTTCCAGTTGATATACCAAATCAGGGCTTCTCAAAGTTTAAGTGAAAGGTGTGAGTAAAAACCTGCCACATGCGAGTTTCTCTGCCCACAGTCTTAATTTACTAAAGTTAAAAGCAGAAAGTGCCAGATTAGAGCCAACTTTTTTATGTACTTTCATTTTTCCAGACTCAATATCCATCCCACTCATATCTGGACTCATTCTCTCACATTAAAATTTCTCAATTCTTCTGGAAATAGATGTTGATGAGTTGAGCAAATGTGCCCTGTGCAAGATCAATACAAGTAGTAGGGCTAAAACCACAATCATAATTGTTACAGTGCAGAAGGAGGCTGGTCAGCTCGTAGCATCTTCGTTGTGTCTCTGAGCATGATGACTCAGTGTCATTTCTCCTGCTTTTCCTCTGCAATAGTCATCTAATGCCTCTTTGAATGTCTCAATTGAACCTGCTTCCAGCACCCTTTCAGGCAGTGTCCCAGACCCCTCTGCTCGCTGTGTTTTTAAAAAAAAAAAAAAAGTTTTACCTTGTATACGCCTTATTTGCATCCTTTTGATCTCAGTCCTTGATAAGTTTCTCTCTTCTGACCAGCCCCCTCATACTTTTGATAGTTTCTATCAAATCTCTCAAAGAAAGCAATCCCAACTTCTCAATATATCTTCATAACTGAAGTGTCTCATTGCTGGAACCATTCTTGTAAAGCTGTTCTGCATTCACGTCCTCCCTAAACTGTCATCCCCAGAAGTGTTTACAATACTCTAACTGAAGTCTAACTAGTATCTTGCACAAGTTCAACATAACCTCCTGGTCTTGTACTGTATTCTCCAATTAATAAAGCCTAGGATACTGTGTGCTTTATTAACTGCTTGCTCTGCCTGTCCTGACACCTTTAGCACCTCATGATCATAAACACCCAGTTCTTCTGCTCCTCCACACCTTCAGCAAATACCCTTTTATTATTCCTCATTCTTTCTACCAAAATATATCACCTTCCAATTTCTTGCATTGAAATTCATCTACCAACTAGCTGCCCACTCCAAGTTGTCAACTTAGTGTTCTCAATGTTACCAAGTTTTGTATCATCTGAAAACTTGGAAGTTGTCCACTGCATACCAAAACCTAGATTTATTGTTATGTCAGGAGAAGCAAATGTTCCAAAATCGCCACCTGGGGACCTACACTACACATTCCACCAGACCTAAAAAATATCCATTAACCATTTCTCTTTCAAATCCCTCAACCAATTTTGTAACCATGTAGTTACTATCCGGTGTAATCCATGAGGTTTTACTTTACTCACAAGACAATTGTGTGGTACTGTTTTAAATATCTTTTGGGTGTCATCATCACATCCGCTCCCTATGCTATCTCATCAAAAAAAAGTCCAAGTTAAACATGATTTTTTCCTTAAATAAATCTATGCTAGCCCTCTCTAATTAGCTTACTTTTTCCCATGTGACTATTATACTCTGAATAATTATTTCAAGAAATTTCTTTGTCACTGAAGTTAACTTAGCTGGTCTGTCTTAGTCTTCCAACTTTTTTTTTGAACAAGTGTTGAATTTACAGTTTTCCAGTCCTGTGGCAACACCCCTGCATCTAGGGAAGATTGGTGCTTCTACAATTTCCACTCACTTCCTTCATTATCTTTTGAATACATCTCATTCAGTTTTGGTGTGTTATCAGTTTTATATACCAACAACCTATCCCAATACCTTGCCCTAATCAGTTTTAAACCCTTCTGGTGACTAAATTTCTTTATCTGCCACCATGACTTGGGGCAGCGTCTCCTTCCTCAGTAAGGATAGATACAAAGTGTTCACTTAACACCTCATCCCCTTTTTGGTCCCTAATCGCTCCTAAAGGCTGAATCCACAAGCCGGGTTTTCTTTTAAAAAAAAAAAAAGGTAGCATTACTGTCGCTGTTTGAGTCATTTTGAAAAGACTGATTTAACCAGAGGTGGCTGTCTTAATGAAGACTGCCGGTGGGAGTTGAGATGATTGAGACCAGCTGTTAGAGGACAGTCAGGTGGTTTAATTGTGTGGCCCTGGGAACTGAAACATTTTGCCTAAGGGTGACGAGTTTTAAATAACTTTACGGCTGAATGTGTTGCCATATGTGGTAAGGTTGCTGTCAGTAAATCAAAGAGATCTAACTTTGTATTGACCCTTCATAGTATATTACAGTTTCCATTGAATAAAATCTGATTAACTCACATTTAATGTATGACTTTGGGTTGATAAGTATAAATTTTGTTCAACGATTTCTTGTGTTGGTGTTATTTAGTGAGTTTTGTGTTTTTCAGGCTGTTAGACCGATTGGGCTCAATATCAGTTTGCTTTGGAAATATTAAGTTTAAGATGTATTGCATGTGTTTGGATAGCTGTTTTATTTGAGTTTAAAAAGTTTTATTGGAGATGAGTGCTAAGTAAATAAGTCTAGTCAGTGGTCCCCACATCCAAACAATTTTTTTTTTTGTTTTTTGAAAAGTTGTGGCAACTTTCCTGTCTCAAAATTACTAAGGAAGGAACTTTGACATTTTAATACTTAATCTAGGTGATTTTGAACTGCTCGGCACTTCCCTGCCTCCTCCATTTATTGAGCAGCCCAAAAGAATCTATACGGAAGGAAGCTTGCTGGACAGTTTCCAACATCACTGCTGGAAATAGAGCACAGATCCAGGTGATGTACTTGCATTTTACGGTGTTGTTAAAAGTAAAGTAAAATCTACCTATTAACTGTTGCCCTGTTTTGGAATCTTTGCTTTTAGCTGCACTCAATAAAAAAGAAATATTTTAATGCTGGTTTGTTTTGTCTCCTTTCTGTATGGCTGCATGTTATGATATTTTGATGAAAACAACCCTTAGATATTTTTCCTTAAATTGGCTGGTTTTAAACATCTTTTGCAGTAGTGCTTAAAAAAAAAACTTAGTAGGTGAGAAAGTGTTCTGCTTGAGGTATCAGATCTGTATTTGAACCAAATGTGATGGGCCATCTAATTTTCATTTGTATTTCATTTCATCTGTAAACATTGTTCCGTTGGGGGGATCCAAAAAGGAGGTAGGAGACTGAGCAGGGAATAAAAAACGTCATCTTTGATAGATGGAATGTAACAGCTGGTTACTTAAGAGATCTGTTCTGAATCTTCAACTTTTGATTGCCTATGCTGTCCATGTGTTTATGTATGTGGCAGAGATGAAAGAATCAGTTGTATATCTAAGTTTGTCAGAGACTAACTAGAAAGCAGAGTTTTGTGGATTGAAATTAGATATTGTTTTTTTTTCCCCAGTGCTCAGTCTATGACAAATGAAATTCAATGTGTTAAAAGTATGAGGATAAACATTTGGAACCTGCGTATTTGGAATATCTTTGTTATGCAGTCTAGGAGTTGGACAGAAACAAAGGAAATTGTCATTGTACATAAATCACTAAAATTTGGTGCTTTTGTTTGAAAAGTTTGAAAGCCAACAGAATATAGCTTTATTGCAATGTGATTGAAATTCAAATATGAGCAAGTGATGCTTCCTATCTAGCTTTGGACATAATCTCATGGAAAATGTTAAGTTCTACTTTGGGCACTGAACCTCAGGGAAGAATGCATTGAATATGGAAAGGTATAATGCAGATTCTTCTTAATTATGTCAGGGCTTTAAAGAGTTTGATTAATGATACTGTGTATAAACTTGGGTTATGTTTCCTTCAATTTTGATGCTTTAGAGGTAATCTAATCAAGTTGCTTTAAGTTATAAAGTCATTCAGTTGGGTAGAGTTCTATTTTCTGGTGAAAGCTTCAGAACAATAGGTTATTGTCTTACTCATAGTTTGTGATATTAGCAAAGGATTGTATAACTCAATGTATTAGAAAACCATGGGCTCTTTCTCCAAATGTTCAATTTAAATTTAAAGCCAATGAATAGATTTACATTAAGTAATAGAATCAAAGGTATGGAGCAATGGCTTTCTATTAAGATATAGACAGAACAATCCTGTGATTGCCTATTCCTGTCAAGTGCTAAAATTCTCAATACGTTAGGATGCATCAATTGGAATCAGTTGCAATCAATGTAAAAAAGAGAGTCATAGGACAAATGCCTACAAAATTATTTATTTTATTGGATACGTTTCTCATAAATTGAGTAAGGGAGGTTGCCAAGAAAATGTCAAATCTGTTGTTTCCATACTTAAGTCATTTGTTTTCTTTTAAAAGATTCAGTACAAGCTCCATCTGATGTAGAATCAGCAGGTTATATTCTAATAACTATGTAATGTAAGTTCAAAAGGTCAATCGTAAAAAGTTGCATCTCCCAGTAGATGTGAATTTGTGATTTTTTAACATGGTGAGACATTGCAAGGCTCTTCACCAGACGTCTTATCAAACAAATTTGACACTAAATCAAATGAGAAATGAAGGCAGATGACCAAAAGATTGGTCAAAGTGGTGGGTTTTTATTAGCCTTTTACAAGAGGAACAAGGTGAACGGTTTGGGGAGGGGTGTTTGTAGCCTAGGGCCTCAGCCACAGCAGTTGAAGGTGATGTAATTAAGTTTGCAGGTAAATACTACCACGTTTTAAAACGAAAGAGAAAATGAGGATAACAATCTGTTACACCTTCTAATGATCAGTGAAGGAAAACTATTTGCCTGAGCGCCTCTAGTTTGAGAATGGAATATGATGTGTTTGGGAAAAAACATAAAATGCTGGAGAAACTCAGCAAGTCTGGCAGCATCTGTGGAAAGTTAAGGTTCAAGTCCTCTTTGACAATTCTTCAGTCATACTGGACTCAATGTTAGCTCTGTTTCTCTCCTCAGATGCTGCTAGACCTGCTGAGTTTTTTTTTCCAGTTTCTTATTAAATATTTGAAAGTGCCATCACATTGCAACCAAATGGCTTTCCTACCATCTCCTGTATTTTCTGTTTTATTCAGATTTCCAGCATTTGCAGTAGTTTGCTTTTTTTATAGTTAGTTCTGACTTGGAGGAGTTTAAACAGATTGACTGCAAGAATGATAAAGATGGTTGAGAGATATTTATATTTAATTTCCAACGGAAATGGTAAATGTGTATTCACCTTTTGAGAAACCCCTAACTACAAAAGTAAAGTGCAGTAGCAACTGCATTGATTTTTTTTTTGTGAAAGGAAAATAAGTTCGAATTTTTTTGAATGTGTACCATTCTATACAATTCTATATGTGGTATCATTCTATACAATTTTTACCCAAGTTGCTTAGACTATTTTATCTAATGTACGTATTGTTTTCTACTTAATAGGCTGTAATAGATGCAAATATATTCCCAGTGCTTATTGATGTTCTCCAAAAGGCTGAATTCCGCACTAGGAAGGAGGCTGCATGGGCTATCACAAATGCAACTTCTGGAGGAACTCCAGAACAGATCAGGTAATTATAACCAGTGAATGAGAGACTCCCATTTACAGGTACATATTCAAATTCACCCCATCCATTAGTCTTTTAGATCAACACCTAACTGTTGAGTACAGATGTTTAATCTTTGATTCTAAATGTTTTCTTGATTTCCATTTATTATTCTTGTTTTTATAATTCATAGAAATCAGTAATGGAACACCTGATTCTTGGTGAGACACTTAGCTTTATAGAAGTTGTGCGCCATGAGTCAAATTTGTTCTGTTACTATATAATCAGTACTTTTAGACAGTTAATCTGTCAGAAATGTTTATTGTACCTGTCTCAATTGTGCTATTATAGAAAATTCTAGTGAAATTCTCCAGGGCAAAGCCATTCTGTTTCACTCATTTCTTAGAATCCACATCAATATTGTCTTTTGAATACAATACCTCACACTACTTTAGTTATGTCATTTTAAAATTCAAATATCTGCTTTGTTGTATTAACCAAAATCTTAAAATGTAAAAAGTGACGTGATTTTTACTCTTCAGATTTTCAACCTTGTGCTTCAAATCATTAGCAAAATGTGACTGTGACAATGTTTATCATGTGTGATTAACCATCTGTTAACATTTAGATGTCTACCATAATGTAAATTCTGAAATTTATCAAAAACCTTCACTAGTCTCTAAATTGCACATTAAAGTAAATTGTTGCGTATGATTGGATGACTCAACAATGGACATCACAGAGCTGTGTGGCAAGAAGTAACTGCTTATTCTTATTACAGTAATAACTTTAGATTTTATTTTAGCAGATATTCAGTTTAGGCATAACTTCTATGTCTTACTGTAAATTATTTGAAGATGTTCAGATTTCATAGTGCAATCGGTTAACTGAAAACCACGATTGTTAACTGGCATCTTTGTTTTCATTTGAAGGTATTTGGTGGAACTGAGCTGCATCAAGCCTCTCTGTGACTTGCTTACAGTCATGGATTCCAAAATAGTGCAAGTTGCTTTGAATGGACTAGAAAACATTCTACGATTAGGAGAGCAAGAGGCCAAACAGAATGGAACTGGTATCAATCCATACTGTGCACTTATTGAAGAAGCCTATGGTGAGATGCTATAGTACTAATTTTACAAAGCAAGGAACATAACTGGAAGAGAGAGTATAACTGTCTTTGTGCTTTACAGAAATTAAATTTTTTAGTTCGCAATGATGGTTAAAACGTGATTCTTTTTGTTTGTCAAAATGCCCAAATTTATTTGTGGCAAGAATCGGGACCTGGCTTGATGTCTTTTAAAATATTGAATTAGTCATATTAAACTAATCAAGTCTGATTTTCATATGCTAGCAGATTAGTTTTTGAAAGATCCCCGACTAACACAATAGAGATGGAAAGAATTTTGAAAATCTTTTGAGGAAAGTGATTTTCAGTTTCAAAAAAAAATTAAAGCTTAATTATAAAATTGAAACAAAATAAAAGCCGGAGAGAAAGGAGACACAGAAGTATAAACAATTAAATATTTTATCTAGTATTATTTCATTTTTATTAAGCTTGCAGGTTAATTAGTGACATGGGCTTCCAACTGAGTGGGACATCACTTACACGGTTCACTTCTTACCTATTCAGTTATAGTCAGCTGTAATGGCTGAGAAAGAGAAAGGGAAGCCATTTCGTTATTCTGTACGCTTCTTTATTCTGCACCAGTGTCACCTCCTAGAGTCGTAGTTACAGGGTCATACAGCACAAAAGAAGCCCTTCAGACATGTCTACACACATCCCAGTTTCCAGCCCATAGCTGTGAATGTTAATTTCATTTCACGTGCTCATTCACTTTTTGCAGGTGGTGACATTTGCTGCTTCTACTGCTCTTCACCACCTTAAAATGATGTCTCTTCATTATTGATCCTTCAAGGGGAACAGTTGGTTCCTATTCACCTTGTCCGTGCCCCTCATCATCTAATATACCTCAATCAGGTCCTCGGCCTTATGCTCTAAAGAAAACAACTTGAGCCTATCCAGCTTCTCATTAGCTAAAATGCTCCAACCCAGGCAACATCCTGGTGAGACTCATCTGCACCCCTCCGGTGTAAACACATCCTTTCAATACTGTGGTGACCAGCATTGCACACAGTACGCAGCTCTAACCAAAGTTTTGTGCCACATAACCTCCCTGCTGTTGCAATCTATGCCAAAACTGATAACGGCAAATGTCTGGTATGCTACCTTAACCACCTTTTTAACGTGTCCTGCCACTTTCAGGGATCTATGGACAAACACCCCAAGATTCCTCTGTTCCTCTGTGAAGCTCAGTGTCTTGTTATTCATTGAGTACTCCCTTGTTTTTCTAGTACTTCCTAAGTGCATCACCTCACACTCTTCAGGGTTGAACTCTGTCTGCTGCTGATCTGCCCATCTGACCAATCTGTCTATATCTTCCTGTGACTGAAGACCGCTTTCCTCATTATTAATCACCCAGCCAATCTTTATACCATCCACAAACTTACTTATCTGCCCCACATTCTCAATGATGTCATATATGTATCTCTCAAACAATAAAAGATCCCAGCACTGATCCCTGTAGTATGCCACTGGACATTGCCCTTGAATCTTTTAAATAGCCTTCTACCATGAAGCCAACTTTGGATCCAGCTTGCCAAGTTACCGTGGATCCTATGTACTTTTACAACCTTTCAGTCTCCTCTGCCAAACTTTGCTGAAATCCGTGTAAACTACATTAAGTGCACTACTCTCATTTGTGCATCTCATCACCTACCTCAAAGTTCAGTCAAATTTGTTGGGCTTGACCTCCCTCTGACAAAACCATGCTGACTATTTGTTATCAAACCTTGCTTGTCCAAGTGGAGATAAATTCTCACCTTCAGAATTTTCTGCAGTGGTCTCCCTATTACTGATGAGACTGACCGGTCTATAATTCCCTAGTTTATCCCTACCACCCATCTTGTAATGTGGAATCACATTAGCTATCCTCCAGTCCTATAGTACCCCTCCTGTGGTCAGAGATGAATTAAAAATTTGAGTCGGAGGCCCTGTAATTTCATCCCTGACATCCTATGATGACCTGGGAATTTGTCCACTTTTAAGCCTGCCAAAACCTTCAAAGCCTCTGCTCCCTGGGTCAACCTGCTTAATAACTTTGCAGTCCCTCTGCCCACATTCTGCACCTGCATTCTCCTTCAAGTGACAAAAGTAAGCTATTCGTTTAACACCCTAACAAAGTTCTCCAACTTCACGCACAAATTGCCTTTTTAGTCCTTAATGGGACCTACTCTTACGTTTGTTATCCGGCTGCCCTTAATATACTTATAGAATATTGCTCCCCTACTATCCCCTGTTATGTAATAGACTAATAGACGTTTATAGCACCAAAGGAGGCCATTTGGCGCATTGTGCCACTCAACAAGGATCTGACTACACTAATTCCATTTTCTAGCTCTTGACCCATAACTGTGGAGGTTATGGCAATGCAGATGATTATTTAAATACTGCTTAAATCTTCGAGTATTTCTGACTCTCAGTCTTTCATGCAGCGAGCTCCAGACTCCCACCATCCTCTGCATAAAGAAAAAGTATCTTCAACACTTCTGTATAGTTTCAAGTGAGAGTGGTGAGTGCCTTGGACGGCATCCTAGTGTTCTGATGCCTTTGCCCTTGTAGAGGTTATGATTTCAGAAGATGCACTCCAAGGAGCCTTAGTAAGTTGTTGCAGTGCATCTGGTAGATGGTACGCTGCTGCAGCTCTTGGTGATGGAGGGAGTGAATTCTGAAGGTGTTAGATTGGGTGTTTAATCAAGTGGGCTGCTTAGTCCTGGATATTTTAAAAGCATGAATCTTCACCTTTATATTCTGTATAAGACTATATGTTCTGGACTCTGGATAATATGGGACTGGATGTATGATGAAAAATGCAGGATCCTGAGGAATTTTTAAGTTAGAAAGCCCTGGAATGTTTCAGTTTAGCATGGGAAATTCCACTGTTCCCCAGGATCCTGGATTAGGATCGGAGATGCAACTCCATAGTACTTCCTGGAAAATTATCCAGGAATTGTTAGGCAAGTTGAAAACCTGCATATCGGCACAATTGTTGTCACTGACTACTCAAGTCCTATGGATCTCATGCTGTTAACGAGCTAAGACAGAAAGTGAATTTTCTAAGTTTAAGTATTATTGCACAGCAGGGACATCTTGCTTCAGGTATGTGATTTGCCTTCCATTAACCCACATCTGTGCTCAGTGAGACTACTGGCAATCCGAGATGCTGCTTCGTCTCATTTGCAAAGCAGTGGGTGACTGCATCGAGGCTACCAATGACATCACTGCTCAGGCTTTGCAGCCAAGTCCTGCCATCTGTTTATGCTTGGCAGAGTTAATTAAATGTCAAACTTGCCTCCAACCCAATTCGTGTACGTTACAAGATGGCGTTGTAATAGTGGTGGTGTTGCAGCATTGGGAATATCCAGGACTCTGGTTCCTGTCCTCCACTTGAAAAGAAATTATTGGAGGCTGTATAACGGAGGTGGGGAAATGACATTCAGACGAAAACCTTATTCTGTATTCACGTGTACTGGCTCATACTTAACTCTGCACTTGTCTGTACCATTCCCAATAGGGAAATTGTTTCTTTTAAAATAATTAAGACCAGTTCTTCTCGGGAATGCTCCCTACAAGTGCATAGTGCATATCATCTTATTCACGTTGTGTAGTACTTTGTGAAATAAAGGTATCAAACAGTATCATTGTCTGTAATATTGAGTCGTGAACTCTGTAATTTCAGGTCTGGACAAAATTGAATTTCTCCAAAGTCATGAAAACCAGGAAATCTATCAAAAGGCCTTCGATTTGATCGAGCATTATTTTGGTATAGAGGAGGAGGACTCGAGCATTGCACCGCAAGTGGATGAAAATCAGCAGCAGTTCATCTTCCAACAGCAAGAGGCCCCAATGGAAGGGTTCCAGCTCTAAATGCATGATTGACGAAACTGTCTACAAGTACCACCATTGCACCATATTCAGAAAGAACTTCATAAATCCTCAGAGCCAGAATTATGAAGAAGCCGCTGTAGTGGAGTTTAAAATTAGGAACATTGTTAAAAGGGCAAAATTTTGAGGCAGCTTATGCACTTTTCTATTTGCAGTTTAAAGATACATTTAAACTGGGGCTGTTGATTTTCATATTTCATATGTAATATTCATTTAAGTATCTGGGGTCATAAAGATCTGAACTGTGTACCTGAATTGCTCCAAAGAGAAAGGTGTTGGAGTAGAAGACACACCTATATTTAAGCTGAAATTGCAGCCATCTAAATAGTACTATTTCATGTCACTGTTTACAGCCCTAATTTAAACAATACTTATTTATTCTTTTGATCCCAGAGCCTCAAAATACTATTACTGTTACAAGTTGTGGTTTACTTTTTGTTGAATAATGAAATTGAAGTCTAACCTATTTGACCAAAATCCTTTTCTAAAGGTCCTGAAGTTGTATTGCTATTATTTAAAATTTCAGACTTGTAAATTACAATTTGAGCAAATTAGTTAGCACTGCAACTTTCAACACTAGTATCTGTAAACGTAGTTTATAGGTACACTCCTGCCCTGCCGCCCACCCCCCCCATGATAAATCTACCTCTCTCTTGAAATTAAGACAGAAGTTGTTTAAAAGATCCTGACTTGTTGAGATATTTGTTATAGTACAAGTCAATTCTGTGAATGAGAACAGTGATCATCAGCATTGCTAGACTATATTTCAATATGGAAATCTGTAAATTTACATTTTGTTCTTAACTTACTGGAAGATAATTTCATAAGTGCACTCTGAACAGAAACTTGAAATTGTAGCAGTACCAACTACACTTCGAGTTGACAATTGCATTGGGATGTGTAGAGTACATGTACGAATATTTGTAGAAAGTGAAATAACTGGCAATCATTGAAGCTGTTGTATTCCTAATTAGGTGACCATACATGGTTAGTAGCAATATGTAAATTATGTTCCTTTTTTCTTTTCTCTCCTGATCACTCTACCCAAGTTCCAAGTAGAAAGTGCACTAAGTGAAGATATTACTATTCTTCAATTTGGGAAATTAATTCAGGTTAGTTTAATAGATTTGGCTTAAGAATTTTGAACAACCAAATGGGTGTAGGTTAATGGTGGCTAGAGTGGCATTTCACAATAATGCTGTTTAGACATCTCATTCATTCACATTTTTTCCTCTTACTGAGCACTACTGTTGATTTTTCCCTTTTTCTTATTCCTTTAAGAATGTTTGTGTATCCCTTAAAATTCTTTATGTACCAGATAGGTGTATGAACTACTGCAAAAAACTATTTTCTTATGTTTACTTCACTAAATTGGTAGAATTAGAATTTCCAGCTGATGTTAAAATAATGTCAAAAATCTTGTTACACTAATCTTCAAAACTTATATGTAACAAAATATATTACTGGTTTCTGGTTTCTTCCAATAATTAATCCACCATACCAGCAAGAACACGTTTTTAAAAGGTTTGTCCAGTTAAGGATGGGGGAACTGCACTTCTAAATTAAATAATTTGAAAGAAAATAAGTTAGTTAAATCTAGGAATGCATACAATTTTCAAAAATACTTGTTTATTCAATATTAAGTATGTAGATTTTGATTTTAATTTGCAATATTGATATGCGTACTGAATTTTTTTGTTTATCAGAATTCAAAGTTAATTTTGCTGTTGTATTATGTTTGTGTATGGGTGTGGTACTAAGAATGACAGGTGATACCAGCCAATGAGTACTCAATATGTTTGTGGGACATTCCTCTGATGATATTTTAAGGGAGGCACATGAAAAATGTTATTGATCATCCACATATTGTCAACAGTAATTGTTAAAAGTATCTCAAGGGGAGCAGATTGTTATTCTGAATGGCCTGAATAAACAAAATAGCCAAATTTGGTGTATCATGATAAAATGTAACTGCAGAATGTTGGCAGGTATGTGCACATCTATGTACAAAAGCAAATCCGTATTTGAAAAACATTCTGGAAAAACTCCTAGATGCATTATGAGTAAAAATACAATTGTAATTTGCAATACATTCATGCAACAAAGACATTTCTTCCTGTGAATGTCTTTTTTTTTAAGTTATATAATATTTCTTGATGCAACTGATGCCTTTCAATGAAAAGTGTCTTCTGCATTATTTTCCATTTTATAGGTTCATGGTGGGTGGAAATTGATGTTTTGGAATTGCAGTTGTAGTTCTTTGAGTCTTAAATAGAACTAAACTCTAGAAGTGTATGCAATAGTAATACAGTTAAAATGTAACTGATATTTGCATGTGCTATTAATGCATGGCTGTTTTAATATACAGTTTTTTGCCAAGCAACATGCATAATGTATATTACTTAATTGCTCCCATGTTCCTAAAAGACCACTCACCCAAATTTGCACAGTATTTGACAAGTGTGGCCAGATCGTAATTTAAAATTTCCAACAGTATTACTTTGATATGCTGGGAAGCACTTTTGTCTGTTAAAGTATAGTTAATATTTAGCAGACAACTACTTCAATTTCATGAAACATTTTAACTAGGGTGAAACTTTATGTACACAGTAATTCTATGAAAGCATATCAATTGCCCCAATCTTGCCCTTGGGAATTTATGCAGCAGTGTGTTCAAATGTCCTGTTTTGGAATTCAGAAATCATTTTACAAGTGCTGATTTCACAAAAACCAGAAAATAAGTGTTAGAGTATTTTGTATTGTAGCTTTTGTTGCTACTTTAGTTACATCAAAATCTGTGCCTCAGCCATGAGCTCAGTTTAGCAGTGGCTACCTAGCTGTATTTTGCAGTACATATGTTGTATCCTACAGAATAATGTAAGCCTCAAAATCTAATATTACCAAATTAATGTATTTGAAGGCAAGTGTTTAATACAGCTTCCTTTATTAGACAAACTATAATTGTAATACATCCCTACCAGCAATAGTTACATAAATCATGGAGAAAAGTTTGTTTCAAAAATCTGTGCTCAATTCACATCTACATCATTAAAGCTAATGTTTGTGTGTATATATTTTTTTACGATGACTAGAGCTGTACAGTTTGACGTGTATTCATTGCTTTTGGATCTATTTTCTTTCAATTGGAATTACTTTTTTCTACTGTTGCTGGCAACAGCCCTGAAATCAACAGCCCTGAAATGTTTTCCTCTCTTTTCTCTGCCCCCAACCTGACCCATTCTTGTTCTCCTTAAATTTTAATCTCTGAAATTGTTTGAACAAAATCAAGTAGATGCGCCAAGCCTGATGCAAAAGGGTAAATATCATGCAAAATAAGTCAAATTTTGTTTGTGCATTATTTGTATATGTGCTAAGGATGTTAATTTTTTTCTTCCACTCTTGGGCTAGGAATTGCACAATCTAACGTTATTGAGTTGCATTGGAATGTATTAAATTTAGAAATGTCTGGAAAGCGAAGAAAAAAATAAAATCCATTCACATGATTTTGATTTGAAATTTGTTTAACTCCCATGTTTTGGGTTTCAGTTATTTAATGTGCTTGCTTTTACATGCTATGTCTCACTAATTTTGTTTAGCCTTCTAATTCCTTCTATGATTGAAGCATGTACTGAAACATTAGACCCAAATTATTTTAATGTGTGGAAAACCCAAAAAGCTTTGTCCACTAGCAATATTATGTATGTTCTGGCTTGTTACAATAGCACTAATTTTTCCTTAATGCATTTAACAATATCAAAATTAGACTGGACCTGGAGATCCTGTTGAATTTGCATCAGAAATGAATGAACTTCTATCAACAAGCAAGTTTGATTTTTCTGAATTGTTGCTGTATTAATGCTATCATTTTTTTCATTTCCGAATTAATTTTGTAGTATTTGAGTAATTTGCCATTTTAAGATCTTATGTTCTCATACTATCAAATACTTTGCAGTGATTTTCACTTTTTTGTTCACATGTGACAATCAGCATGAATGTAGGGAGGTCTCATGATTGGCAAATGAAGTTAACAGGTGATCTGTTTTTTCTTTTGAAAGTTGAAGATTACAAACTCGGACATAAATCCTTTCAAATAATGCTGTAGGTTCTTTTACATCCAGCTCGATGGACTTCAGTTTAATGTCTCGTCTTGGAAAAACTCCTACATCAACTATGAATTACTCATTACAAGAAGTAACCTGGATTATGTGCTGGAGTCCTGGAGTGGGGTTTGAAAATACAATCTGGTGATACTTACAAACTTTTTGGTAATGATTCCTGTGTAGTTGTACACATTTTCCTTTTATGCATTTTTTGCATTCAGCATTACAATGTACATTGATTATGTTTCCGCCCCCTTGAAATACCCTATTGACATGCTGTACAAATTTTCCAAGAAGTTTTTTTTTCATTTTCAGCATTAGATGATATGGGCTTCCCAGGGCTGTTGACTGTAGATGGAAATTTTCATTGGCTAAAAAAAAACTGCAGTTTGCACTTTGCCTCTCTGGGCTGTATTCAAACTCAGTTTGCTCAAGTGAAATAAAGTATTGTTAGAATGTACCAGTTTCCCCCATTAATTTTAGTACATTTTTATGAAGATTTACTGAGACTCAATGCATCATAGATTAGTTGCAGCAAAAAAAGGGTTAATTTTCCTGTTGTATCTATGCTGGCTCTCTGCAAGATCAACAGGACTAGCCCTTTCCCTGCAACCCTCCAAGTTTTTTTTCAGCTAGTTATCTAATTCTCTTAAGTAATGATATGAATCTGCCTCTATTATGTTCTCTGATGCATTCCAGAACCTAACCCATACTACTTTAATAAATGTTTCTCCAGTTGCTTTTGGTTGTTCAATTCACCTAAAATTGATGTCTGAAACCAGAGGTCTTCTGCCAATGGGGACAATGTATCTTGATCTATTCTGTCCAGACTGTTTGTGATTTTAGATTTTTTTTAAATCAGCCTGTTCAGAGATGCTATTACTTGGGAAAGGGTGGGATTTGAACCTGGACCTCCTTGTCTAGAGGTAGGGACATTACCCCTGCACCACTATTGTCCCACTCGGAAACTAGTGCCAACAACCCCCACCCACACACACACACAAATTGAAGTTCATCACCCTGGAAATTATTCTTGTAAATCTTTTCTGCACCCTCACTAATAATATTTTTATATTCTTCATGAAATATAGTGTCTAGAATTCAACACGATACTTCATTTGAAGGCTGGGCTAGTGTTTTATTAAAGGTTCACCAAAATGTATTGCTTTTGTAATCTATGCCTCTTTTTATGCCTTAGTAACCACTTCCTCAACTTGTTCTGCCACCTTCAGTGATTTGCACACCTCCAACTCCAGGTCCAAGTTTCTGTACTACTTTTAGAATTGTATTCTTTATAATTGTCTCTTCTCTTTTTCTACTAAAATCAATTCATATCTCATGTATATTGATTTTATTTGTCACAATTCACCAGTTTGTGATCCTGACGTCTAATCTCTGTTAATAATGTTTTCAAGTTTTGTCATTTACAAATTTTGAAGTTGTAGCCAGTATACCAATATCTACTGTTAATTGTGACCAAGATGGGCCGCAAGCCTAGTCATGGAGCTATATAGCACGGAAACAGACTCTTGGTCCAACTCATCCATGCTGACCAGATATCCTACATAAATCTAGTCCTGTTTGCTAGCAATTGGGCCATATCCCTCTTAAACCCTTCCTATTCATGTACCCATCCAGATGTCTTTTAAATGTTTGTAATTGTACCAGCCTCCTCCAGTTTCTCTGGCAGCTCATTCCATACACGCACCATCCTATGCATGAAAATATTGCCTCCTATCTTTTCCCCTCTCGTCTTAAACCTATGCCCTCCAGTTTTGGGCACCCCGAACCCAGGGAAAAGACCTTACCTATTTACCTATCCACACCACTTGTGACTTTCTAAACCTCTATAGGGTCACCCCTCAGTCTCCAATGCTCCAGGGAAAATAGCCCTAGCCAATTCAGCCCCTTCATATAGCTCAAACCCTCCAATATACTCAAATCTCTTCTTAACCTTTTCTAGTTTCACAAAATCCCTCCTATAGGAGGGAGACCAGAATTGTACACAATGCTTAAAGTGGCTGAACCAAGTATTGAGCTCCTCTGATTTTGCTTGGACTGCTGTGTTCATCCAGCTCTACACCTTGTTATTTCATTGAGTCCAAAGGACTATATTGCCTTCTGTTTTCACAAAACAATCGTTGCCATTAACTGCTGTTTGCTGTCACTCAACCAACAACATGCTGATGCTTTTACTGTTCCCTTTTTCTTTCCATAGGCTTGTATTTTGACAAAACTATTGTGTAGCGCTTTATCAACACGGGTTAGAAGTCTATATCACATCAACCCGATTACCTTTTAAGCCCTTTATTTTTACTTCCTCTATACAAATTCAGTCACGTTAGTTGAACACAATTCACCTTTTTTTTTAAAAAAAAGTGAGCTTTCTTTACAAGTAATCAGATAAATAAATTAATAAATATCATAAGTTATATTGTCTAAAAGCTTTTCCATCACCCAAGTTAAACTGATTGATGTAGCTGCAAACTTTACTTTGCACCTTTTCAGAACATGACTAAAAATTAGAACTACACTGATCCTCCAGAGATTGTGTAAAAACCTAACTTTTTTTAAAATGTTTTCATCAGATCACATCTGTGTTGAAATAAAAATTGCCATTCTGTATAAAAGGTTGTGCTGCATTTGGCAGGGTATTGGGAAATCTGTCAAGAATTGTCACCAAGTATAAATAGAGGCTGAAACGTGAGTAAAAAAAAATTGGAATATCTATAAACCAGGTAAAGCTTAACGACTTTGCTAAGATAAAATATTGATCTATCAAATAAAGTATATAGCATGCATTGATTGCCCAATATGACACAGACACATGATTGTAATGGACCATCAGCAATTACATGTTTTTTTCTTTCTTTGATTAATTAAGTGACACAGATCTGTGAAGACAATTGAAGTATTTGCTGTCCTACCTGACAATTTTTGTTGTAATCAATGAAACTATCAAATGCCATTTTTCCAGAAAAAATGTTCAAAATGTACTAACCAATTAGTGTTTTACCTCTATCAGAATGCTCTTTTAAATTGCGTATTAATAATTGTTGAGTGATTTCTAAATAGCAACAAAAGGTTACATAGAGTAGGATGTACCTTTTATCTAAACGTTGAATCAAGTTTCTCAAGCTGTTGAATTCTATTCTCTATAAGTTTGCTCAACTTTTTTAATTAAAAAAGAAACACTCAATGTTTCTACAGTGATGCTAAAACAAAATTGCAAGTGTGCAATTGGTCAGCCAACTTCTAAAGAGAAGGGGTAAGTTTTGGGTGCATACACTTCATTAAAATTGATATTGTGAAGCCAGAAGCCATTGGATATTAACCTTACATTTTTGTTACTGAGAAATGGAAAAAATATTTGCTTACCAGAGTTTGAGTGAAGATTTGTAGCTTGGGTGCTGGTCGTAGATGTTGGTGTGTTCGCCGAGCTGGGAGGTTTCATAGCAGACGTTTCGTCCCCTGACTAGGTGATGTCCTCGGTACTGTGGAGCGTCCTGTGAAGCGTTGTTGTCTTGTGCCAGTTTGAATTTATATAGTCTGGTTTTTGCTGCTTCCAGTAGGTGCCAGTTCCAGCTGTGCATTGTAATGGTCGGTATGTCGGGTCTAATTCAATGTGTTTGTTGATGGAGTCCACAGATGAATGCCAAGCCTCCAAGAATTCCCTGGCTGTCCTCTGTTTGGCTTGTTCAATGATAATAGTGTTGTCACAGTTGAAAAGTGTGATTTTTCTCATCTATGTGTATTGAAACCAAGGACATCTATATAAATTAAAACCGGCACAAGACAACAGCGCTTCACAGGACGCTCCATAGCACTGAGGGTGTCACCTCGTAAGGGGACGAAATGTCTGCTATGAAACCTCCGAGCTCGGCGAACACACCAACATCTATATTTGCTTACCCTTTAATCTTTTGAATTTTAAGTTTGGAAATTACTTATTGTAAAGCAATGTCATTGAAAAAGAATCCAAATATGATTGGATTAATGTATAGCATCATACTTGTATATTGTTCATTTACTTGCTTAGCTTCTTTTGTACATTTCTTTTGTTTGTTTACAGCTTTTGTTGTCAGCCAGAATTAATAGAGTATTCTCACTGTGATGGAGAGCCTTGTCTGGATGAGAATTTGTTTTTGTTATGCTCACACAGGAGGGAAGTTTGAAGGAAGGCTATATGGTTAAGTTGTACAGTTTCCTTTTAATGAAATTATCACTGTTTTGTATCGGTAGTAGCCACTGCAGCTGTCTGCTCTCGTTCAGCTTCTTCTTTCCATTTTGCCTTTTTTGCTCGATTCCGGCTGACAAGCGATTCGTGTCGTTCAGCAGCCTGAAAAGAATAAAGAATATCGAAAGCTTAATTGTGTTCAATAATTGTCCAATACATGAATCCT